TAGAATATTATAAACAAGAAAATATATAGCACGATTCTTACGTGATCGTAAATGTTTATCATTTAATGTCATTACTCATACATTACTTAATATCAAAGTTGAGTGCCATCTCTTATTTTTTCGTACATGCAAAGTAGCCTTCACATCTTTTTCGTGTGCTTATAATGGGTAAAAAAATAAATTACGTATAATCAATTTGGAACATAAGTTACATCAAAGCGAATCGATAATCCTTGAACTGGTCAGATTACATAGTTTAATAAAAAAAAGCTAACATTGGCCGTGACCGTAAGCTGTAATCAAGTTTTTTTACCTCCACTTTATTGCACTAAAATTACAGTTACCTTAAAATAAATTGATTAATATTTATAATGTATCGTGCTGTTTTGTAAAACACTGGATTATCTGATTCGATCATATCTATCGGGATTGAAGAAAAACACGTAATCAATATCGCGGACACTCCCACTCCAAAACTAAAAAAAGAAACAAATCACGAAAGTCATCAGTCATATATATACAATTGATCGCCCTTCCCAATCGTTCGCTTAATAAATCTGACAATGATAAGACAGCGTACTTATGTCGTGACATTAATTAATATTGCATGAGAGCGAAAGAAATTTGAGAAACAAAATTCAAGCTAATAAGGTAAACGTCTTTTCGAGGCGAATGGTAAACATACGGTGGAAAGTGTGATTCACGCGCGCGCAAGAGCCCATCGAAAATCAACGACGACTAGTTGAAAGAGCGGTTCTCACGTACTCGCGTCAGCCATTTTCTGCGCTTTGTTTACATATAAGGCACAGCACTGGCGGGTGAGCGGTAGCCACGCGTGTGTCGATAACATGGACGTCTCGGTCTGGCGTTATATGTGAACCTATTTTTCTGTGAACGTTCAGCATGAAAGAATATCTCGTAAGATTATATCGTACAGTCTCGCAAGGGATGTCAAGAGTTACATATAAATAGAATCGCGCAGCAAAATCATGTCGCTTGTTCATTTATGCAAACACAAGCATGTGTGTAGGTACATGTATCTCCACTGTCGAAAATACACATAGCAAGCATCACGGGTTTTTTTTCGCTCTGTACCGGCTATAACAAAACCTGGGCTGACCTCGAACTGCCAATGCGCGGCCTGAAGCAACTGCTTGGCTTGTTCCCTGGCGCAACCGGCAGCCAGCACGAACTGATTAATCATCACTTGTTCTCGCAATGTATCCATTTTGTCTTTTCTTTATAGTTTTGTATTAGGCGAGAAGAGCTTATAGAACAGAGAGAGAGAGAGAGCACTCACTCGCAGCACAATTACATATCGCGAGCCGGCCAGACAAGCATAAATATACCGCGCCACGACGAGACACACAACACTACTGAACACTGAACTGCGAGTGCCTCACATGAGAGTATGTAGCGCGACGGAAGAAAGAGAGAGAAAGAGAGAAACAGGCAGACACGCGGAGAAAGAGAAAGATAGCAGCTGCTGTGGAGCGTGCGCATTCCACCTTGTTTGGGACCCTTACCAGCTGCGGACAGCTGCCCCCGCCTTTACTTCCTCAAGCCTGCGTTTGTTGTTTGTTTATCACTAGCCAAGTCTTCTCCTCTACCACACATATACACTTGCTTGTGATACACGAGTCGCGACGCGACGTAATCAAACGATCGATAAGGAAGAACTTTTTTTCTCCATTGTCAATGGAGACTAATGATCAATTTCTTAATATATTACGTTCACATGATTTCCATATATGTTTTTAAGTCTTGAATTGAGTTGGGTGTTTTGTCAAACTTTATTCTGATTTTTAGTTTTGAATTCAGTAGTAGTTGGTTTGGATATTAGTACGTTATGAGTTTTATTCAATGGCCAAGTTTTTGACAATTGATGCTTTGGTTTTCAAATGAGACTTTACAGAGATATAACGCTTGCTAGCTTGGTCTGATGAGATCTTGCCGCTCAAAATAAAGTCTGTTTACCAAATTTAAATACCAGCATTGTGCGATTTATCTGTCAGAGGGCAGCACTTCTATGTCAACAATTACGGGGTTATGTTCAGTCAGTTCAGTGTTTACTTCATATTGCCTCAATGAATGCTGACATAAGCAATTAACATTTTATTTTTTCTTGGTTTATTGATTGATGGTTTTTCTTGCAAATTACTAAAACTGGAGGAAGGAATTTCCATATTTTAAAATAATAATTTTTAGAAAGGTAAGAGATACACAAGAAACACCTTAAATAAGAAAAAGTAGATTTAATTGAATTATAATAGAACTGTAAATAAAGTCAAGCAAGTTTGTTCTAGGTTATTGAAAATGGGCAAGCACGAAGTCGGAACACCAAAATACATAGCAAATAAGATCAAATCGAAGGGTTTACAAAAATTGAGATGGTATTGCCAGATGTGTCAGAAACAATGCAGGGATGAAAATGGTTTCAAGTGTCACACCATGTCTGAATCACATCACAGACAATTATTGCTATTTGCAGACAATGCACATAAATATATGGACCAATTTTCTAGAGACTTTGCTGATGGATATTTGAGTATTTTGAAGAGACAATTTGGTACCAAAAGAGTTCCTGCCAATCGAGTTTATCAAGAGTATATTACTGACCGCAACCATATTCACATGAATGCAACAATTTGGTTGACTCTTACTGCTTTTGTTAAATGGTTAGGTAAAGGTGGTAAATGTATTGTTGATGAGACAGAGAAAGGTTGGTTTGTTACATACATAGATAGAGATCCAGAAACACTTGCTGCACAAGAGAAAAAAGAGAAGAAAGAAAAGATGGATAAGGATGATCAAGAACGAATGATGCATTTTATTAAAAAGCAAGTCAAGAAAGGAAAATCTAATAATGAGCCTGCAGAAGAATTCAAACAACCTCTAGAAAGAACAGATGGTGCACCTTTAGTACTGGATATAAAATTGAAACCTAAAAAGATATTACCAATCCAACCAATTCTACCTGTTAAAAAAGCTCCAGAAACAAGTAAAATAAAAATCAAAGAAGAACCTTTAAGTGAAGATGAAGAGACGGTTAGTAACTCTACAGAAAGTAAAATTAACTTAAAACGTAAAGAATCAGAAGATGATCCAGAATCATGCAAGAAAGCCAAAAAAGAGTATAATAGTAAAGAAGAATATGACAAGAGGAAAGGTTGGTTGAGGATAGGTTTATCAGTTAAAATTGTGACTAAATCATTGGGAGAAAAATATTACAAAGCCAAAGGTACTGTAGTAGAATTGGTTGATAAGGATCATTTTGTTGGAAAAGTGAAACTAAAATCACCAGAAAATGTTGAAAATCATATTATAAAAATAGATCAAGAGCATCTTGAAACTGTTATTCCTTCAATTGGAAGAGATATAATGATTTTATGGGGAAAATATGATGGTGAAATTGGTGTGATAGAAAAGGTGAGAATAGATGATTTTTGTGTTGATGTTGAGTTGAAAGACAAAAAGAAACTTTTAAAAAGAATTCCTTATGAACAAATTTCTAAATATGTTGGATGAAAAAAATGATAAATAATGCAATGGTTTATTATATTATATCAACTGTAAATATTTTTAGATTATTTATAAAATATTATGTCATATAGAAATAATTCCGTAATTCATTTCTGATACATAATTCTACAATGGTGAAAAATGTTGGAAAACAAGCATTTAATTTTACCAGCATTGCTTAGCAGGCTTTCCTTTTGTTATTGTGATATTCATTGCATTAATTAAACCTTTATTTTACATACCAATGTTAAGATTCTATTAAAATGGATGTATAAATAAATAATGAAATTTATAAGGTACTACTACTATTAACATTCATTGGTAAATAAAACTTTCACTGGCATCCCACAAGCACTATTTGACAAAAATCAATGAAAAAAATCATTCCAATATGTATTGGAAAATATTCCCAAAATTTCAGTAAGTGTATGTTTATAAAATATCTTAACCTTAATCAGAATTAAAAGTTTTAGGTAGCCCCATGTTAGAATATTATTAGTAATTAATTTGAAACTTATCTGTGTTAATTTATAATATGTTTAAAAATGCTTTTTTGACAGATTCGATATCCTGATGAGATTTCCTAAGCATACATCTCTTAAGATCAAATATACAAAAATAAGATATATATTTTTTCATACGTTTTATTTTATCTTATTTTCAATAAAAATTGCAAGGCAATAATATTCATTTAAATTTTATAGATAATTGTGAAACGATTTACTCACTGTATATTTCTATTATTAACAGTCATAGAAACTATTAAATACAAAAAATGGTTTATAAATTAAATTTACTACTAGCTACAATATAAAGCGTGAAAGATTCAAAGTAGAATAAAATTCAAATTTTCACTACTGTGCTATCTGTGTCGTCTAGCAGTGTGGCTGTAGTAGTTTTGAGGACTGTGAAGATGGCCCTCGGGTTTTTATGGGAAATTGCTAGCGAAAATGGGAAAACGGCATTAATTCCGCTAATTGTCCCTGATACTCGTAGTAATTTCCCATTTTCGATTAGTCAACGGGAAATGGGTGAAAATTGGCATTTTCTCCTGGCACCGGAAGTGGCCTCTTTCTCTAATAATTGTTGTTGAATAATTACGATTGATGGCTTAAAATTAAGATTTCAATATCCCCCATCATCCCCCGTATTCGCATTTATGCTAAATGCTACTCATTTTAAATAAAAATTGTTCATAACTTCGACGCTTTGAATGGCGGGAAGTCGGTGTCAGTCCGTATTTCTGCGTTCCGTGGTCCAGATAACACAGCTGGGGGCCTATTCTGAAAAAAAATTTTAGCACGGGGCCTATTCTGAAAAAAAATTTTAGCACATGTCATAAGCATTTATCACATCTAAAGTGATTAATTCTGTGGTAAACTGAAGTGACAAACTGATTTACCACAAAATTTTTTTTCAGAATAGGCCCCCTGGTGGCGCATACATACTTGTGAATCCAAAAAAATTTTTTTTGGGCGTCAGATTCACAAGTCTAAATTAAACACAGATGTAGTAAAGCGCGCGAATATTAAAATTATTAAAAATGTACTGTACACTAAATCAACTGCGTATAGTTTTTTTACTTCTCACATTCAAATAAGTATTTTAATGATCCGACAGCCTGCAACTTTCCTTTCTCTAAACTTCAATTATACAACTTTTTCCAACAAACTTTTTTAGGGTCTGTCTCCATAGGGCCTGCCTGAGTCCGTCCGAGCCGGCCGAGATTTTTTATGGGCACGCCATCTCTATAATTTCGTGTTCATGCGTTTCTCGTATTGGCTGCGTCCGATCAGGCTCGTTTATGTAAACGCAGCCATTCACTATGAAACTCGCCATTGGATACGAAATTATAGAGATGGCGTGCCCATAAAAAATCTCGGCCGGCTCGGACGGACTCAGGCAGGCCCTATGGAGACAGACCCTTACAGGGACTTATACGGACTATCTGAGTTCCCTTTTAAACTGAAATTAGTAGAGTTTTTCTTTACATTTGTTGTTCTTCAAGTTTGACGACTAAAATGTTGTAAAATAGTAACAATAAACATCAAAATTAAAAACAGCTTGAATATCCCGGCTTTCCTCCATTTGTTTAAAAATCTCGAAAGTCAAAAATCGAAACTTAGAAAAGCAAACTTACAAAAGAAATAAAGCTATAGCAAATGCAATTCTGTTATATGTACTGTTATTGCTGCTATCAGGCAGCTACAACTATACTATAGTATACTATATGCCGCTGCGTTCTTCGAATCCACGTGCGTTGAACATGCGAATGTATGTTTTAAAACTCGTGAATCAAAAATTAATTTTTAAATAAAATCATTGGCAAAAATGTCTTGTAAAATACACAACGTACGCTTTTACAATTTAGAACCAAAATCTATAACGTGCTTTTCTTACGAACCTAGAAGTAAAAAATTGGCTGTTACAAGGTTAGTTCTGTGCAGTTTAAAGATTCAATTAACAATATTGTTTTCTATTTATTATTATTTGTTTTCGTTTTGATATTCATTATTAATTTTTCATTTTATTGTTTTAAAAAATTAAACTAGTAGTAAATTCTTTTTTTATAATATCTAAGTCACATATTTTTGTTTGCCCTTTGTTTAGAAATGACAATTCATTAGAAATTTGGAACATTGGTAATGCTCCTTTTATTGAGTCTACGATTACTGGTCAAAGTGATACTTCAATAGAAGCTGTTTTATGGATTGACTCAAGATTATTTACTTGTGGTTTACGTGGTATGATAACAGAATATGATTTGACAACTTTAAGCATAAAATATGAAGTGGCAGTCACAGGAGGAGCAGCTTGGTGTATGGATATAGATAATAATCAAACTCATTTAGCTGTTGGCACAGAAGATGGTTACATTAACACTTTTCTCGTGACTGAAGAATCTCTTATTTATGAAAAAATCTTTGACAAACAAAAAGGAAGAATATTGTGCTTAAAATGGGATAATGCTGGAGAAATGATCTTCAGTGGTTCTACTGATACAGTAAGGGTTTGGAATGCAACATCTGGTCATGCAATACATAAGATGCAAGTAGCTAGAAAAGAGGTCAAAAAGGAAACTATTGTGTGGTGTTTGGCAGTAACTATGGACAATATGATTGTATCTGGAGATTCTAGAGGTGTATTATCAATTTGGGATTCAAATATGGGTACACTGATTGAAGCTCACGAAAGTCATGCTGCTGATATACTTTCCATTACCATGTCACATGATAAAAATGTAATTTACTGTGCTGGTGTTGACCCTGTAATTAGAACATTTTCAAAAGTAGTTGCTAAATCTACAGGAAGAATACAATGGGTTAGAGGAATTGAAAGAAGACTACATGTTCACGATGTTCGAGCTCTTGTTGAAGCAGGTGGTAAATTATACTCTGCTGGAGTAGACGGTTACTTGGCTCAGTCTAGTTATCCACCTAGGGTTCTAGTCAAATATCCACCACTACTTCAACCACCTTGCATTTATGTATGCTCAAAATCACGATGTATATTGTTGAGATATCATAATTTTCTTGAATTATGGAGACTAGGTGATATTGCTAAAAGTAATACCACTTTTGAGCGACCTGGACATTTGTATCCTTTGGAAGATGAGCCTGTAAAACTTTTACAATTGAAATCTAAATTGGATGAAAATATTATTTCTTGTGCCATAACTAGAGATTCTAGTATTATTGTGTACTCCACAGAAAGTCATATTAGAGTGTTTAACTTTAATGTGATACAAGGTCATGCTCAGCTTAATAAACAAGATAGTGATATACCTCTCAAGAAAAAAGTATACAAAATGCTTTTCAGTGCAAATAGTAAAATTCTTGCAACAGTAAGCAACGAAGAAGGCAAAACTGTTATAACTTTATATACTTTAAATAAAGAGCATTATTTAAGTTTTCATGGATGCTTTACTACAGATAAAGAAGATATTAAAACAGTTGGACTACTTTGTTTTTCACCTGATAATAAGTATTTGATTTGTTCTGATTATCAAAGTCATATAATAGCCTATAATATAGAAGGTGACCTCAGTCCAGAATCATTACAAGCTTGGCTTCTACCAAAGTATACTTGTCCACCAACTGCTATGGCAATACAGAAGGACACCAATAATTTAGTTATTGTATATTCTGACCATAAGGTAATTAAATTAAATTGTTACTATATATTTATGAAATTTTTAAAATTGCCAAAGAAATAATTTATCTGATGAAAAAACCGTTAACTCTGTTACAGATTGTGGAATATAGTATTCCAAAGAGGAAATATACAGAATTTTCAAACAATTTGCAAGGTCGACTGCCAAATCAATGGTTGGCAAGACCTTTTCCTATAACTAATATTGCCTTTGATCAAAACAATGAAAACATTATAATTATGCATGATGATACAACAGTTTTTGTCATTAACAAGTCTAGTGATCTTCCATGTTCAACAACAAAAATAGCAAAACTCGAAAATGGCTATTGTAAAGAAGAAAGTAGTACAAGCTCCAGCACAAGTTCTCAACACACCATACAAGTTGTAAAAAAGTATAAGGTATGTTACATTATAGTTGTAATAATTTTTGTTCATAAATAGTTGAAGATTTACTACTAACATTTTTGTTCAGCATCTGGTACATTTAGGATGGATGAGCAGTTCTGAACTGATAGCTGTCGAAGTCAATCCAACATCACTATGCGAAAAATTACCTCCAACATTAAAGCAAAAGTGGTTTGGCATGTAAATGTTATAATAGAATTTTTTTTTAGCAAATTGTTGACTGTAAAAAACTAAGACAAAATTGGCAGTTAAATATTTTCATTGTAGTCAGTTTTATATGACAAATTGTAATTTATAAACAGTTTTAAGTGACTACAATCATTGTTATAAAAAATTGATGTATCAAAGAATTATTAAAACTGATTCATTATTTTATAAATAGTATTATATTAATACTACTAATTAAATATAAAACTACATCAGATTTAACATATTACATTTTGTAAAAATAAGAAATGTATATGGATAATAGCTCAAAAGATTTTTGATAAAAAATGCATTTTTGTGAAAGTTATAAAACATTGTATGTATGTAAAAAAAGTTATATTAAATTTTTAACGATTACTCATAAATAAATAATGTTTATCAAATTTCATTATAAAAATATTGATTGTCATTTGTTTAATTCTTTTCTAATTTTTACACCGATGATTTTAACGTCGAACTATGCAATAATGTTGATATCTGCATTCGAGCGTAGCATTTTGAACATACCTATCCCTTGAACATGGACTTGGATCCTTGAAATCTTTAAAATGAGCGCGACTACTTGCGGCTTTTAGCGCTCGCATTGCGGGGACAAGATGAAAATCAGCGCTGGGCTGAGCTAAGGGTCTGTCTCCATAGGGCCTGCCTGAGTCCGTCCGAGCCGGCCGAGATTTTTTATGGGCACGCCATCTCTATAATTTCGTGTTCATGCGTTTCTCGTATTGGCTGCGTCCGATCGGGCTCGTTTATGTAAACGCAGCCATTCACTATGAAACTCGCCATTGGATACGAAATTATAGAGATGGCGTGCCCATAAAAAATCTCGGCCGGCTCGGACGGACTCAGGCAGGCCCTATGGAGACAGACCCTTAGACAAAATGGCCAGTAGCGTACTTCAGTCAATACCTTCGTGGCCAATTTATAATCGTCGTGGAAGTCAGCCATGAATGTATAGATTGAAGTTGGTCACTTTTCCGTAGCTCGACGCAGCAGTAGATAACTACGTCCGGGGTTCTTTTTAGGGTGTATTTACAATCTAAGGTCCCTTGTGCTTTGCGCCTTGTGCCAATCGTATTTACTTTTCGATATTATTAATTGCTTTTAACCGTTATATTAATAGGTTTTTGAATCCAATAATAAATTGTATAGGTTGATAATTTTTGTTATGAATTTTTAACTATAAAGCTTTGTAGATAACAATAGCAATGTGTTGACGAAACAAGTACGAAAGGCATAATGCGCAAAAAACATTTTACATAGATATACCCTAAGGTTTGTGTGCTTTAGTCTCCATGGTGCTCTGTATGGCGTGTATTCTCCTTCTCCTTCTCCATGTTTCCTGTACATATATACACGCCGAATGCCCTGGCGGACGCCTATAAACAACCCGCGCGGTGTGTGTTAGATCAGAGACCGCGTATGTATTTATTCGAGTCGTTCATATATGTGGCTTTCTTATTTTCGGTCTCACCTCTTCGTCCGGTTCGCTACTATAATTTAAATACAATAGTTTATTGCTGGCTTTCAACATTCGTGTGAGTTGAAAACTCGGTGCTCGCCACGCTGGAGCCGGCGTCCAGGAGATAACATTTGGCCCTTTGGACGGCGGCTAACGGCGACTCAATGGCGTTATTTACACGGTGACAACATTTGTTTAAGGTTACTTTTTCTCACTGTATAGCTATTTTTGTATGAGTATTCGTGATTTTTGAAAAGGTACCGAAAATTTTACACGTTATATTAATTATTTAGTCAGTATATTTGTGGAAAATGTGACGTTTAAAATACTTTTTGTGTGGTGTTGAATTCTGCAAATGAGAGTTTTCATTTTTTACTTAGAATCACGTGTATAATAAACCTTTAAGATTTATTGTTTTTGAGTTATTTTTGTAAATATTGTTTGCTAAAGTTGCACTTGGGTTATTAAAATCATTAATTGTTGGATGTAGGTTTTGATTTATTGCAGATTTAACTTAATTTTTTCATAATTAAATGAACATCATTTCCTCTGTGTCGTATGATATTAATTTTCTTGAACTTTTTCCATCCTTACAGATTAGGTTAATATAGAAGCCTCCATTTGGTCATTTAATAAAATGAATTATTCAGAACATAATACACCAAACACTTTACCACAATTTTCCGAGTTAACAACTCGAACAAATGTAACCACTGTAAGTTATGCATCAAACGAGAGTGATGAACTACAAAATTCACAAAACATCATTTATACTACAGCTGCTGATTCTACTAATTGCAAACAAGTTGTAAGTGTTTGTTATTGTTACATCTCATTAAAATGTTCTAGGTGTTCATACATACATGTTTTTCGTTTTTTTGTTACGAAAATTTCACTTTCACTAACAATTTCCATTGCTTAATGTTTGCACACAAGCACTTTAAATTTTAGTTGGCTTCTTATTGTCAAGCTCATTGCGATTATTGTATATAATTTGCACTGTAACTAATGCTTGTACATATAAAATATTTGTAAAAGTTAACAAATAGTTTATATTACATAAGATTCAATTTTTATATGAATAAAAAAGTCAAATTTCAGCAAAAACTAAAAATCTAATCAAAACTGTATATTTTATGCCCTTATCTGATAAATGTGAAAGAAAAATATTAATGAAAAGAGAATAACTTTAAAACGTATGTTTCTTACAGTTTTTTAAAAAATTGTTATGTTAAAAAATATAAACTTTGATTTAACTCTAAAATTGTCATACAAACAATTTTTCAGATCAACTCTCCTAACAAATATTCTAACACAATTTTAAATTGGCCTGAAACAAATATATTGATGCAGTTTTGTGAAAAACAGAGCTTGCAAGCAATTAACATTCCGGCTTACAATCAAAACAATGCATCTGTGAATGTTTCATCTCATAATACATCGATGAGAATCATTCAAAATTCTGATATTCCACAAACTGATGAAAATACTGATAATAAAAATGATGCTAGCCATATAAAATTTGAAATTGAGGATATAAATTTTGGCACAGTAAGTTTATATTTATTCACCCTATTTAGTTTACACAGTAAATCATGTGGATTAAGGGGACCAGCCAAGGTTACACAGTGAAAATTGCAAGTTTTCTTTGTTGGCTTGTAAAAATCATTCTAATAAAGGTTTCATTAAAAATATTTTCATTTTAAAATACTTGAAATAAACTTTGATGTTCTTAATTGCAACAACAAAAATCTTAAATTTGCATCCCCGGAAGTTATTATCAACATAATACTATTTATTGAAAAAATTTATCATTGTGCATCCTGAACACTAGATTGAATATGAAGTGAATGAACATTGAACAAAATCATTTTTAGGAGGCTCATTTCATTTGCTATAATCTGTACTTTGAGATTAGTGTAACACTTTTAATAATATCATTTTTCCATGTCTAATTTTTTTATAATTTCATTGAAAAATATTTTATTTTATTTATCGAAAAATTACTCTTTGAACATGAAAAAAGATTTTATTAAAGATGTGCTTTACATATTTTAAAATCTAGATCTCAAAAAAATAAGTCCTCTAAAAAAGATTTTTGTTTACTCTGACACTTGGGACCATACATGATACTAATCATTTTAATATATAAGCTATTATGTTAACAGTAACTTTTTTAAATATATATTTGAGATTTGCAATCAAGAAAATTAATCTTTATTCCAAGAGCTTGAAAAATAAAAATGTTTCATACCAACTAAGAAAACTTTCAATATTCTGTTTAATATTGGCTGATATCCTTAAATGATTAATTTATACATGGATTAATTGCATGTATACATGATTCATTTAAGTTATATGTAATAATTTATAGAATGAATTTTCAAATTTACATTCATACTTTTCATGATTAACATTCTATCATTAATTTAGTCATTTATTGTTTACTGTTTTCCATAATTGATTCTAAATATTTGTATATGTAACACAGTGACTGTAAATTTGAAAATGATGAGCTTTTTCATGCATCATACACCTCAAAATTATTTCATAAGTTATAAATATTTCTGACAGATAAAAGTTATTGACTGTTTATAATTAATTATTAGCTTACACATAAATATGATTTATTTGCATATCTTACTTGAACATGAAAATGGTTTATAACACACTTTATATAAAAATATATTTTGTTGATTTATCCCTTATATGCCCACTAGGGATAATTTCAGCTCTATCACTGTCAATAAGCATTAGTACATCTTAATGGTTCCTACTTTTACAAAATCATTAATAACTTTTTTAATTATGAATCCTTTGAGTTCACATTTTTTTTCTAATATATTTCAAAATTCCAATAATCTAAACTGATAGTTATTATGAATAAATATTTATTGTACATATCGAAAAACTAATTATTTTTAAGATGTGGCCTTTAACAGATAATGTTAGTCACAATTTAATATAAATGTTTCAGTTGAATTCTCAAAGTCTTCAGCCGCAAAGTATAAGTATGACAGAATATATACAAAAATTGCAATCTACGACCCTTCCTTTGACGTTGCACCAATTGATTAAAATGCAAGCAGAGCAATCAAAGAAGGATAAAGATAGTGAACAAAGAAATGATCAAGCTCAAAATAATATTCTAAACATTCCTAATGTGCCAATAATTTATAAGACTTCACAAATGCAGTCTGATAGTCAATATGTGAACAACGATCATTCCATGATCTTAAATCCTAGTGATGTAAATGTTCACATGGAAGAACAACCTGAAAATCACAATAATACTCAAAATCCAATTCAACCTCAAAAAATAGAGCAATCAGTACAACCAGACACAGTAAAGCCAGAAAAAAGAATAAAATTTAGAGCCAAGACTGGTGAAATAAAAATCACAGTGGCACTTGATGGATCGCATTTGTACTGTTGCCCAGAATGTAACCTTGCATTTCCTCATATGACTGAAATAGATCGTCATTTGCAAGTTCATGTACAGGTAAATCTGCTATTTACTAATTTATTTAATATTTTTTAAGCTATTGAACTGCGTTAAAATTTTACAAATCGTTTTCTTTAAAATTTTGCAGTAAAATTGTTTTAATATTTATTGAATTTGCATTATCTTTTCAGGAACGAAAATATCAATGCAAAGAATGTGGAGCAATGCTAAAGCGTAAAGAGCATCTGGATCAGCATATGCGAGGTCATTCAGACGAGCGTCCGTTCAAGTGTCCAATGTGCCAAAAAGCTTTCAAACGTAATGAACATTTGACCAGACACTTTGTTATTCACTCAGGCGACAAAAACTTCACTTGTCAGGTCTGTCAGAAAGCCTTTTCGCGCAAAGATCATCTAAATAAGCATACTCAGACGCATTTGGGTATTAAAAAAGTTAAGCCAAAAAAGGAAATCGTCGAGCTGCCGTCATGCAACGATTCAACGGCTACCTCGATGTTACTCAGATCTGATATCAACAATCTGCTAAAAGAAAGTAGTTTAAAGCAAGATACTACGCAATTTCTGCAGCATATACAAAACTTGCAAAGAGATTCGAGTCTTATGCAAACCTTTTCAGCGTTCAAGGAACACGTGCTCAAGGATGGTTCTGTATTACAACAACAAGCTGTTAATATGAATGAGATTTTGCCGCAGAATACTAGATATTTGATGCCATCCTAAGGTTTTTTGTTTATATTTATTTTAGATTTTTTTTACTATTATTAGATGTAAGAACATTTGGTCCGTGGCCGCAATCGTGCGGTCAGTAACAGCAATAAATTCGTCAAGAGACACGAAAGTGATCTGGCTGGATAATGTTTATTGGAATGAATAAGAGAATTGATTGTTTTTTGTGAGAATGTATTGATACTTTTGATTGTCATGTTAGCTTGAATTGCAAGGAAATGATTTTGGAGCAGTTTTTTTATGAATGCAAAAAATGAATGAAATACGACAGCAATAGAACATTATACAATGAGATTGTTTTATTTAAACTTTATTGGCTACGTTGAATACGAACTTTTGTTAGTCAATGTTTTTGTAATTTAAACTTAAGTTTTATTGTTATAGTTATTTTTTCTATTTTTATATACAGATAATATTTGTATATTAAAAATGCACAGTGTGTGATTGAAATTCTTTTTGTGCATTTGAAATACTGTGATTAAGCTTTTTATTCATCTAGAATTAATCATTTGTATTTCGATTTGATGTTTTAACCGACAAAAATTACATTATTATACGTTATGTTTAAGTAAATACATTTTTCGATCAATTCTTTGTATTACTTATCATATCATAATGAGTAGTGAGATATTTCATTCCAATCTATATTTCTAGCCAGGAATAGTGATAATAAAAAATGTAAATTCATTAAGCAGCGCGAAATGCTAGTTTAGATAAATTGATAAATAAAACAAACGAAGCATTTCATTACACATGTACACGCGCGTGCGCGCGCATATGCACACATTTAAAAAGATGGTTGTATATTTTGCAATCTTAACGATACATGAAATAAGTAGTTTCTGAGTAAAGAGAGAACGAGAGAGAGAGAGAGAGAGAGAGAGAGAGAGAGAGAGAGAGAGAGAGAGAGACAGAGAGAGAGAGACGGAGAAAACGAAAAAGTTTATAGAATAATGTTGCAATCAAAAGCATCTAAGAAAACGTAAGTTCAAAAGCTAGAGATATTTAAGAAAATGAATTATTTTCATTCGAAATTTTAAGACCATACCTATATACAGATATGAAGATCCATAAATTCAAAACCAGGTTTTGAATTCATAAATCTTCTCAATTAATAAAACAAAGTGCAAGCAAAGATAATATATTTTAAATAATAGTAATATCAAAAATTTCACAAAACTTTTTTTAAGTGTTTGATATTAATATGATGTTTTTCAAAGTGAGCAAATTGACAGAAGAGCTATTTTTGAACTATTGTTAGTTTCGATTGTTGTAACGAAAACTGAATAAACAGTAAATTTAAATATTATATTTGAATATGTAAGTTTTTGAAGATGATGATTTTGTTCAACGTAACATGTTTCTCTTAAAAGAAACAAAATAAAGGTGACCATATTGAAATCCAGCCATGACCGTTTATAACTGTACATATATAGTTTTTAAATTATTTTGCGTCTGTGTGATGTAACGTGTAATTATCCTTCCTAAAATGAATTGTAATAATGATAGGATTTATGGAAAGTCGAATTAGAATAATTAGAAGAGGAATATAATGGCAAATGATCCGTGTATCAAATAGAATATTTTTACATTTTTATGCCTCGATCATGTGCATAATGTTGCATTTTATTTTTGTTATAAGTCATTTATCTATACTTAATCTTTTATTTTGATCTCGTTTAGAACACCACTAGCTTCATTCATCATATTGTATTTGATTTTGCTAGTGTATACTAGATTTATCATGATGTGAAACTGTATTTTGATTTAAATTTCTTATTAAAATTGTATTTTTAATTCGAAATAACCTGCTTACTTTTTATTTCTTCAATACTAATAAGTGGCCAAATTTGAAGAATTACAAAAAAATTTTGCGTTACTACTTTATTATTTTTATTTATCAACAATAAAAATTTGTCTTGACATAAAAGTTTATGAATAATCCAAATAAATATAACATCATGTACAGTACAGTTACATTAATTAATATGTAATTTATAAATCAATTTACAAATCAGCAAATTTTGTCAAAATTTGATTGCAATATTAAAACTAATTTGAAAAAAACGGACTAGAAATTTCATTAATAGTTCATAATGATACAAGTGCGGGAAAGTAGATTCTTGTTTTGTGTGGCGTTTACGCCTGAGCGAAGCGAGGGTGGAAAGGTACGCGAGACGAGAAACTTTCCCGAACATGTGCCGCATCGTATTTTTTTATACAACGTGTGGAAAGTGCGACTTTCAACGCACGTTTTCTGCCGTGCATGCGGGAAAAACGCACCTTGCGCACGGAGTGTGGCAAAAATATTTATATAAATAAAAAGAAAATAAATATTGCAATATTTTTCTTTCATTTCGTTTTCTGGTAAAAAAATTGATCTATAACTTACAAATTAATATATATTCAAAATAATCTAGAATAAATTTCATTATTAATACACTTTTAATGATAACTTATCGATAACGAGATCTCACAAGATTCAATTAATAATTTTTAACTCGCGTTTTTAAGAACGATCAACTAAACAAAATGTTATTCAGAATATTTTTCGCCAGGATTATATGTTTACAACAAACAAATGAATAGATTGAATACGAGTATAATCATTTTAAAAAGTCCATAATTTCTTCCGTCGATAACTTCGGCGCATTCTGATTTTGTGAAGAATTGGAATTCAACATTGGAGTACTGGGTAACATCATAGCAGGAGTCGTCCATCCTGCATTTGAATTGCCTAATTGCATCATATTCACACTTGTATTAAAGTTCTGAGGCACTGCTTGGTTCCAGCTCATCGTGGACGGTTGCTGTATGCGGTTCCCAAACGATTGCTGTGTGTTGTTACTTGGTGAAAAGTTGTTCGCAGACATAGAATTCGTTGAAGTCATGTAATTTAAAGATTGTGTGCTTGACAAATTTGTTTTGTTGGTCGACCAGTTAAGTTGATTCAAATTATTAGCTAATAAAGTATCTGTAAGATCCTTTGGTTTGGCTTTCACAGCAGTTGGGTTTACATTAAGCTTCACCGGGGTTTGATTTTTTATTTGCTGACTCATTTCTTCTTGCTTAGCTAATCTATAATTCGTATAAAGTAAATTAAGTTTCCACAAATTTATACGTAATTATAAAGGATATAAATCAAAATTACCTATGCTTCTCGTCTAAACTAAGAGGACGAGACTGAGGATTTTGCGGTTTACTTTGTAGAGGTGACGAGAAAGCGCTTGATTCAAACATTTCAAGAGGATTTATAGGCGACGAAAGGTCTCCCAAGGGATTCGAAGAGGTCGTTAAATTTAAGGCATCAGACATATTTTCTTGAAATTGCCTATTCTTTTGAAGCTGTTGTAATACCTCGCGATGTTCCATAGTAACTTGAGTAATCATATCATTTACTAGAGAAACAAGTAGTTCGTATTGTTTAGGACTAAAACTCTGATCAACACAAAGTGGTAACAGAAACGGTAAGACTTTTGTTGCTAATATATCTTTACTTATCCCTAATTTGCTATTTGTCAAAATTAATTTAAAAATACCTGCAAATAGATTTAATAAAATAACGCACTTTATAAAATTAACAAAAAATAGTAGACTACAGGCATACCTATAATTGCCATTAAAATTGCTGGTTCTCCAGAACAAGGTATTTGTTGGAGAAATGGTAAAATTTCTTCCCTCACAATCCAGGAGTCAAGATTTTCAACTATTTTCGAGAAACATAGTAAGCAATTAACACGTATGCCCAAACTATAGTTCCCAGTTCTGCCAGCCAAACATATTTTTTTCATTCTTGGTATGACAGAATTTTTCATACACGCACTATCTACGATAGATACAATTGATGGTAGTGTCACTAAACAGTGTTCTTGAAGTAGCTCTAATTTCGAATCTAGAGCTCTTGTCATCATTGGAACTATAAAATTTTTTACAGTATCTGGAGAACACCATTTTAATAATAGTTCAATTTTTTGTAATAAAAGTAAGCTTATCTGGAAAAAATACACAACGTAGCAAAATGACTTGTACAGAAATAATTTAGGAATGATAATCTGTAATAAACAGTACCTGTGGGGGTTCTTCAATAACAAATACTTGCTTCAACATAGGAAGAATTCGTTCATTGAATTCTTGATTTGTACAGTCTTCCATGACTTGAAGGATGCTTGGGAGAAGAAATGGAATCATAGGTGCATTTACGAATTCTTTTTGAAGAGCTGGCAGTACTTTCTGCAAAACAGCTCGTCGTGGAAATTGCTTTAAAATTTGCGGTAATCCTTTATAAAATTTAGACTTTTGAAAATTATCCCATTGAAAAAGTTTATCTAAGTATATCAATGTTTTCACTTCTATATCATTGAAATATTCAATCTGAAAAAGTTGGAAAAATGTAATATTTGTTTTATTGCTATGTGAATTATTGTGCATAAACTACAATAAATATTTTAAATAAGACATTTACCTTTATAAATTGATATGCATCAGGTCGCAATTCTGGATCATTATGTAGCATTAGTTTGACAGTATCTTTCAATATGTTTGGCAAATTAAAACTGGAAGAAGAAACTGCACTTTTTAACTCTTCTAAATATAGCTTGTAATTTGCTAAATCATTTTGAGAATTCCATAGACCATGATTATGAGCATGAAGATAACAAATTAGTACACCAAGAGAAAATATATCACTAGGTGGGCCTATGGTAGATGCTTTAATACATTCTGGAGCTTGATAGTAAATAGGAGTTCTAACAGTACTAGGGATTGAATTGTTATCTATGCAAGCCCAGCTTGGCTGAAATCAGATCATGAATAATAAGATTACAATATTTATAAGATCTCTTAGTTAGTTAAAGTTTTTAAGCTTATTTACCTTATCTTCAGGAGTTTGATTGATGCTACAATAGTCAAAGCCAAAAATTTTCCAATCTCCATGATCATTAACTACAATAGATTCAGGGCAGAGGTTCCGATGTAACATTTTAACATCATTATGTAGAAAGGCTAAACTTTCACCCAATTGATATAGTCCAAATTTTATTTCAAGATCTAATATTTTGTAATCTCTAAAAGTAGCTTGAGCTGATTGCGGTAAATTATCTACAAATCCTAAAATGTTTGCTAAACTTGCAAAAACTGGTTCAGTAGCAAAAGCTAAACTGTCTCTTGATTCTTCCAGAGGATGTTGCACTGTTAATATTTGTGGATGTCTGAGTTTTGTCAACTGAACAACACCTTTTCTCAATGTATCTAAAATAATATCCCTTGTTGTTTTGTCAGTCCACTGATCTAATAAACGTTTTTCAAATACAAATATCGCAGCTTTCTGTTTTGTTGATTTTTTAAAGCCACTGTATACTTTCCATAGTAATCCAGGGCCAGCACTACATATATGGGCGGTAGCTTCAAATTCTCTTGTCACTGGATTTCCAGGTAAAACACTAGATAACTGTGACAAACTATGAGCGGTACTACTAACAGTATTACTCAAGGTATTGGTGACAGTATTACGTAGTTTATTTAGTACTTCCATGTCTGATACTTTCTTTTAGTATAATTTCTATAAACAAATAAATTGAGTTTAAGGAATTTTTGATAATACTATGCCAAAAATAAATTCACATCAATTGTTTACAATCTTAAGATCACTAAAACAATGATGAAAAATTTTAGGTTAGACGCTGAGACATTTTTATAAAGATTTGTAATAATAAAACAACGATAAAAAGCGAATATTTAAGGCTCAACCAAATTGTTTATTTGAAAAATGATGAAAAATGAACTTATATAGAGACTGGAATGGAGATATAGGAAAGTCGTGTTGTTATCACACTCAAACTTTATTTAATGTTTCACTTACCTATTAACAAATCCTCGTAAAAAATATTTTAATAATATTCATCTTTCTATACAGTCATTTTATACAGGTTTGATCATCGTATTATACAAAAAAGCAATTTTTTTTGCACAAGAGTTTAAAAGTGACATACGAAATGTCTCACACTCGGCAAGCAACCACCTTGCTTAAGCTATCTGCGTCTACACCTCGAATTGCCGTGCTGCGTGCATCGTCTTGCGGAATACACTCGTTTTCTGTTCAAATGAATGGTCGAATAATGACGATCTTATGTTAATGTAATATAGATATAAGCGTTTGGCTTTGAAACTTTGTAAACATCGATGCTATGATAGATGGTTGTAAGCGCTCATATAAATCAAAAGATCAACGTTGTTTATTTCATTAACGATCTGCCAATATATATTTTGATGATTCGTCGATGCGGTTTTTTTACAGATTTTTACGCATTTTATCTTATTTTACTAAATAATTCAAATTTCGATCAGCGATCAATTATTTATGTTAAATAATTGGTTTTACTGTTCTTGGGCTTTCCGAAAAAAAGATAAAAATTCACTGGTAAAAGATATTCTGAAATATTTCTACAAACATCTGTAACGGTCCTATTTATGAGCTGTTTATTAAATGACTGCTACTAGTCTAACGTATTTATCTGTTAGTCAAAACAATACATTAAGCGGCGCTACCTCACTGTTTACGCGACTGTATACAAATAAGAGTTTAGTCAAAACAAATAGCGTGACGTCACAAATAATAGACATAGATATACTGAACCATAATATTGAGAAAAATATGTTAATCATAGATAATTTGAATATAACAAAGTATCAATTATATAGATTTTAACATACAGATTCACAATATCTCATTTAATTATAAATTTATAATGAATATCGATATGTAAAGTTAATTTATTTATTAACATATGAAATATTAGAAAAATATAAATAATTTATATGTAAAATGAATAAGCATAGAACATGAGTAAGAATTGGTTTCATTAATAACAGCTAAATAACAACTGTTATTAATAAATAAACAAATAATAATTTATTTAAACAATAAGCTATATATAGAACGAAAATATTAAGTTAATACTTGATAATGACAATTTTATGATTTAGAAATCTTAGATAATTAATCTAATAATCGCATATTAAGATTAGAAGAAAACCGTTACAAATATGAAAAATTAGTCATAATTCAAATGTTATTAATTAATTTAAATAATTAATTTTGGAAAATACTTCCAAAATTAATCAACTTTAAGGTTATATGAAATTTTAACAATTTTCTATTGTAAATAATGTAATATCACGTTAATTAACTTTATTAGTTAATAACTTTTGACAACACTATTGGCGATAATTGTATATTGTATAAAATCAACAAATAACTAATTCTGTAAAATTTACACGTGTTAAAAACTTAATATTAATGGCTATTTACTTGTAAATTAAGAAAAACCATTTCTCAAAATTCGCGAATGTATCTCGAATTTTCGATGAAATCTCTCTTGCAATAATAAGCGGGAAAATCTGTGTATAAATAGGCCCACCTTTGCACAGGCTAAGGGATTCACTTCTAGCCTTGCAAAGTGAGCGCATGAGTTTGAATAAACTTGGATTAACACCTAAGTTCTTTCTCTCATTGTGATTTACTAAGCAAGACTAACCTTTCCTTATAATTTGAGCTCGACTTATAGAACATCTCGCACTATAAGAAACTTGGGCCGAATTATATCCTATCCAAGAAAGACTTTAGCTCTGCTTATGGGACAACTCGCACCATAAGAAACTAGGGCATTGTCTGACTTTCCTCAATATTTTGCAATTACTTATATATATTTGATTTACTTAATGATTATATTTGTTTCATTTATTTATTATCTTGAAATTAGAGTAAAATCATCGGAAACAAATTCTTACTCATTAGCTACATTACAAGAGTTCGAATTATTTTTATTTATAAGTGATACGAACATCACACATCCCTGAAATAGATTTATTTGCATCGGCCTATCGTCGATTGAAAAGCACCATTTTATGCGTAACTGACAAAAGTTTACGTAATTGGCAATTCCTAACTTGAATTTAAATCAAGGTTGCCTATTTTTTATGCAACACATACGCAATAGGTGTCGCTCCATTTCGATCAAATCAATTATAAATCACTTCAAATCGGATCAGACCGTCTGCCCAGACACAAACGGCACTGTAAACAGTGTGTCAACGATTTTGAAAGCAATTCCGTTGCGGCTAACAGTCTTTCAGATACGCTTTCTTTTGCAATTATTTCAATTTCCAGTACATTTCAATTTCATTTTCAATTTGTAATTTCAGAATGGAAAATATGTAAGTGTACTTTTGCGTAAAGTTTAATAGTGCTTATACAGTCAATCGTATTCCTGACGCTTATTGTTCAAAGATAAGAAAGTAGCGTAAACGATCGATTGGCGTACAATCAGTAGCGGTTTTAATTACATTTATTTATTTATTTTTGATTGTTTTATTGGTTTTTTATCTTCTCTTTGATTTTCGCAAAAATAAAAAAAATAAATAAATAAACGAGCAGAGCACAATTTCAATAATTATAAAGGAATATATTTATAGCGAATGTTCTGGCGTACCGCGAAAAGTTGTATTTACGTTATTGTATATTCTTTGTTTTACATGTACTGAAGAATCCAACGCCTTGCGGTACCTCCTCTTACCAAGGCCCAACAATTCCTCATCAACCTGTTGTGCGGTATAATTTTTTCTGTAAAAATATTGATAATGTTGGTCTTGAGTGATAAAAACAACGTGATAATTACTGTTAAAGAATATTACGAACGGAGATCGGACAAAAATTGCAAAGCTGTTGAAAAATTGAAAAATGAAAATATAACTTTGCTGGAAGAAACAATAGCACTTCGAGCACAAGTAATTTTTTTAAAAAATCGCTATTGATATGACACTTTATTTTTTATTAATTTTTTCATACAACAATAACGAGACTAAAAACTTTCAAGGTCTCACAGTTGGTCCAAGAAAAGAGTCTTTTACTTGAAAAACTAAGAGCAACGACAAACATGCTCAGAATTTTGACCAAATCGGTAAGTAGCCGTTTATCATATAGATTGGAATTTTACGAATTTAATCAAAATCTTGTATTGCTAGAAAGAAGAGGCGACAAGCTACAAAACTCCAACCAAAATCAACATATATGATGTAGATTATTTACTCCAAAAAAAGTTAAATGTAATTTGCTTTTTTTTTATTTTGTAAAAAATATTGACACTGATTTTTCATTGATTTTTATCGATTATCCTAGAAATCTACTTGTGGTGCTGATTATAAGAAGAAGGTCCAAATCAAATCTCGGCCAGCACAAGTTGTGCACAAAAAGGAGGCAAAAAAATGTGTAGGGCGCAATGGCAATGAGACTGTGCCTTACGTAAAAAACACAGTAAGGGTAACGATCGAAATATTCTTCACGTTTAAATTAATTGAAAAAAACTTGTTTTTATATATTTACAATTTCGTAGGACACAGATAAGAAAATCATAGCGTCTTTGCCATTGAGAACGCAATCAAAAATGTTACAAAGTCCATTATCAAAGAAATCTGTAACCGTCAGTTAAAAGAAAAGTTAATCTATTTATCTTCAAAAGTGTAATGATTGAATCATGTGACATTTTGAAAAAATATTTACAGTTTCAAGGTAAAGGCAGAGAAAATCACGCGATAGAAACCGGTAGCTTGAGAATCTCCAGAACCAAAGTTACAGGGATATTCGAACCGAAAACCGTAGGTAACACTCGAGCAGCGAAAAAGCGTACGGAACTAAAGACTGGTGAATTAAAAATACATAAGGTTGGTAACTGCAAATCATTGATGCCAGAGTCGTAATTGAATTCCATTTCCAACGATTGTTTTTATTTTGCAGAAGCTCGGTCAAACATTTATTGTTCATTACTAAGCAGGCTTGTAACTTCGATCGTTTGTTCTTGTTTTTATACTTAGTTCGTCATACATCTGTTTTTAATTCATCGTAACTGATGTAGAGTAACTCGATGATTTTATTTTTAAATTGTCCAATGTTTCGTTTTGATCATTTTGTAGAATAAAGTTTATGTGATTTGATAATTACGGTACCTCATTCGTTTCGCTAAAAAAGAAAAAATATCGTTCGTCCTGCTTGCATAGTGTTTGTCGAAGGTAAGATATATCGCTGCCTTTTTTGTATTCTCCGACACTCCGAGTGCGCAGTCGGGAAAAATTGCAAAGTACGCAGTAAGGTAGGACTCGTCGAAGGTGCTGAAAAGCCCAACAGAGCACGGAAAAGAGCGAGCGGTTGCGAAGCTGTGAAACGCGGGGGCGGCCACATGCTTGGTCGTAGCTGCGCGTGCCCGTGGCTATTGATTAGCGCGCTCGATGAGTGTTCGCGAGCGACGTCGTCGACGTTTCAACGACTGTGACTACGGCCGCCGCTGCGCGCCAGTCGTGTCATGGAGGATCTCCTGCTGCAGCTCGTTAAGGAAGCGCACAATGCCAAACTACACGGCCTCAGAAAGGCTGCCCAGGATGCCTCCGGTAAGACTTGTATTCCTCGTTATATTCGCTAGTCCATGCGTGCTTTCAATGGTGACTGATAAATTAGGTGTGTCGGATTAAACGTGGGATTTGTTGGTTCGGTCGCGTGGTTTCATTCAATTCAGATGGCAAATGATTTTTCTTCATTTATTTATTTATTTATTTTTTACGACACATTCAGTGTTCGCTAGATATCGTCAATAAACTGTGGATGAGCTTGTTTCATGATAATATAATTTTGTTTTTCACCATTAATTCAGTTGATAATTATGCTGCACGATAACACACGTTTGAACAATCAGATATACAAGCTCGCACCATTTGTTCGTTGAAAAAGAAAAGGAAATACGCGTGAATTATTCAGCGGATTCGAGGCAAAACGCTGTAGATACGATAACAGCACAGTTCCCGTCGTAACGAGCCGAACTCGCCGATAACATATGGATCTTGGCGATTTTGCTTCCGTTGCCAATGCGAACCAACTTTGTGCTATTTACCAAAAATATAGAATGAAATGTCAACGCAGTCCATCAACTCCGTTTCAGCGTGTTTTTTTTCTCTTCGGCATTTATTGATCGGTATTTGTTATCATTGCGCGCGCCGGCTCGCAAGGCGATAGAAAAAAAAAGAAAAAAAGCCCACGAGCACACCTGCGTACGTGCTAGGCGTAATAAAACGTCGCAAATCGTATGAAAGTAAAAGATGCTCCTTGTTTTATTGACGATCGATTGCCTTTATTACTTGTGACGTCGGTAATTCATTACGTCTATTTTTACATTGTTTATTGTATATGTATTTTTTTAGGTGCTCGTGTAGCTTAAGTTATATTTGAAAACGCAGTCACGGTGCAGCGAATTGTTTATTTTCAATAGAAGCTACTATAAATTATTGAAATGTTTTTGTACATTTTCTCATCCTACGTATTGTTGTTTGTTGAGAATCTTGTTATTTATGGAAAAGCTTTACATCGTAACTGCGTCAGAGCCGATAATTGAAAATTTCATCCAATTTTAGAAGTTCTCTTAGCAGTCGACTTAGCCTCTCTTTAAAGTTGCCCGCTTCACAACGGGGCTTCGTCTACTGATATAAAATCATTTGAACTTTGATCTCGTTTAGCTTTTGTGAAGGAATTCGGTGTGATTGGCTTTTTCATCGACTAAAACGTACAGAAAAAAACGCACAAAAAAAAAGAAAATAAAGCCGAGATCATTCACCTGTCAAAAATCTCGCACGAGTTCGCCGCCCTGTATGCGAGATCAGCTGTTTTTCTTTTCTCGCGTTCACTTTAACTCGCAGCTGTTCACGTTTCGCACGTACTTGCAGACTTCCTGGAGAAGCAGCAGGGCCTGCTGCGCGATCCACCACACGAGCTACGCGCCAAGTGCCTCCGAGCGATTCAGCTCGCCCTCGAGACCAAACGCAGCAAGTTCGTTGCCTTTGGCTTATCCGGCCTACACGTGAGTATCGCCAGCCCCTTTTCTCGGTCGCTCGCACGACTTTTCCTATCACGCGTCAACGCAGTCTTTTGTTGGCGCTCGTCAGTTTGCAGCTCTTGCGCGACAAAGTTGTTACAATGTACACCACGGCGAACGAGGAGGATAGGCGAGGTAGCGTGCATTTTATAGTCGGAGTTGTTTTTCGCAATGAAGCTCGTACGAACGTTAGTTGGTAATAAATGCACGACACTGTACGCAGGATTGCCTTTGCGGTAAATTATCTCAAAGCCTTTGCGAGCTATAAAGGCGAACGTCCGTAATAAACTCGAGCTTTTTATAGTTCAAAGGTTGGCAATGTCAGTGTACCTCCGTTGGACATTTCAGTGTCACCGTCGTAAAAATCCAAACTGTTGTCGTCGGCATTGAGAAAAAAAAAAAGAATAAGAGACGGCGCGAGCGGCAGTGTCGAGCTCATTCCAAGTTCAACGCTGGTCGACAAACTGTTCGCGAGCGAGCTCCGAGGGCAAAATTCCTGAAAAGGCCGACGCGCTCATCTGCCGATCGCGGGGGAATCGAACGACCGATAGCCTCGATGAAGGGAGAGAAAACGCTTATTAGTATAACGAAGCGGCGAGAGGAAGGGCAGAAAGAAGCGTGCTGAGCAAGCTGCAAAATGGTTATTTGCGGCTTCGAGTTTAATGGGGGCGCGTGTGCGCTGTGTATGTGCAGAGAATGCTGCGGGACGACAGATTTCAGTCGCCGTACGAGCCGGAAGACGATTCCCTGTGGCTTCCGGCTCAGATGCTGCACGCAATGGGTTCCATTCTGTCGCAGTCCGACGACACCCAGACCGACATGCTCAAAGTGAGTGTTGGACGCACGCCATCCTTTTCTTTTTTTTTTATTGTCATTCGATTTTTTCGATAACTACTCGCCCTAATCTCGTGGCCACTTACGCTTGTTCACGTCGATTTTGAATTGATCGACGATCGATGCGTCTATCCGTCGCCACGGCCGCGAAAATATATTTCCTGCTTTTTTTCGACGTCGACCTATGATTTGAGCTATGATTACGTCGGTCGTACAGGTACTGCTGCAAGTGGCGTGCTGTCCCTACTGGACAATGAACGGCCGCTTAATAATCGCAATCCTAACGACTTGCTGCGAAGCCTTTGAGCACGGCAACCAAGCGGTCAGAACTGCGGCTCAGGCGGCCACTAGTCAAACCTTGCGGTCGTTCTGCTTATTTTTGGGTGAATATCAGCTATAGACGGCGCATAGCCTTCGCGCGCCTCATTGCTTTGGTGTGTTTTTGGCGCAGACGAGGAGTGCCAGGAGATGGACGAAAGTGCCAAGCGCAACAAGAGCATTCGCGAGCGCGGGGTGTGCTGCTTCAACGAAGCGCTGCCCATACTGCAGTACATCTGCTGCAAGCTCGACGAGGCGCAGAAGTGAGTTTGACGCGCGGACGCGCACTCGGACGCACGTTCGAGTCTATTCTCTGTCTCGATCTCAGCGCAAGGAACGGCAGCACGGTCGTCTTCCTCCTGGAATCGCTGCACACGCTGATCTCGTCGCTGCCGCAGAAGATCCACACCAACGCTCACTTCACCACTTTTCTCTGGCAAAAGTTCTGCCCGGCTTTGATCGGGTTCCTGGGCACGCCGCGCGTCGACAAGGCCTTCAGCTCGCGCGAGGGCAAAGACTCGGAAATCGGACGTGGCTCTGGCTACCTCGTCAGCCCCCTCGGCTTCGACAGCCACCAAGCGAAGACCGTTTATTGGTGAGTGCCAATCCGACCGGCAATCGCGACGTTGAGTCTCGAACGTCGTCAATGATCCACTGGGCCGCTCGCAGCATCGGAACGGAACTAGTGCGACTAGTAGGCTGCGCTGGGCCGCTTCGTCCAGTACTCGAGTCGGTCTTCCATCGGATGCTGCTGTATCCACCCCCTCAGCAACGTCTGGAGCCTCTGAAAGCTCTCAAGGAATTGCTGCGCAGTCCAAGTCGTATCGTTGATTTCTCCGGGCCGCTGCTCGTCGAGGAGGAGAAATCCTGCCAGTTGCAGAGCGACATGGCGCTCATGAGGCTGTAAGCGCGAATCGATAGCCTCGTGCGACCACTACGCGCGAAGCCCTACGTTTGTCTTTTGCTGTCCAACAGGGCGATGGACTCGATAGAGGAGTCGACGAGCGCCAATCTGTCGGTACTGCACGCCTCGGTCTCCTGCGTCGTTGCCATGCTGTCGGCGCTCCAGGAGCTCTGCGACGGCAAGGCCATCAGTCACGATTACACTTGCACCATCAACAGCCTTTACGACGACCTCGAGTCGTGCGACTATCGCGGACCGCTCACTTATCAGAGCATGGCCCGTCTTCCCAAGACCTATAGGTACGTTGTTCGGCTGTCCGTGGGTACTTTCGACGAGCTCTTGTCGTGCGTATTTTTCAATTGACAGAGAACAGCTGGAATTGATGAAGAAGAACAACGTCTCCGACTCGGACTCTTCGGGGCACGGACCGTCGGAAGACGGGGACTCGACCGACACGGAAGGTCCAGCCAACAACGAGTCCGCCGACGATGTCGTTGAAGACGGCAATAACAGTTGCCTCGAAGACAGCGACTACGTGCTGGCGAACGAGCGCGAAAGACTGAGATTGGAGAAGCTTCCCAAGTGCTTGCACGTGGGCAGGCAGTTCGCCGAGGAGTGTAACGTCGACGTCGAGAGGCACAACGCGAGGAAATTCGTCAAGACCCTAAAGCTGGATCTCATACCGACGGTTTTGGGACTGAGGACTAACATCGAGGTCGACGAGGCCTTGCAGACTTTCGCCTCGGGCTATTGCCAAGGTGAGTCGAAGCCGAAAATCGAAGCGAAGGTGGTGGTGGATCGAGCGTTGCTGCTTCTTTTCTCGCAGCGCAACAAAAGCTACGAGAGCAGAAAGACCCGGCCAGCGATAACTGCACGCTGGTGACAATTATGAACGCCGACGGGATATATTTGGCCACGTACGCGGCACTCTTGCTGAATTTGAAACTGATCCGGATGAATTATTACGAGGACGATAGCCGGCAGATTCCAGCTACCGAGGTACGACGTTACCGCGCACATCTTATCCGACTGGGCGCGCCGTGTGATGCCCGATGAAAGATCTGACGTCCATTTCCAGGAACAGTTCGTCGAGGAAGTGCACGGTTCGGGCGTACTGGTCTACCTGTCGGCGACCTGGCTGTCCGAGCTCTACCAGCAGGTTCTCGCGTGCAACCTTCTCCAAAAATGCGGCTACGACCGGTCGTCCAACGAAAACAACGCTCTCGTGAACGTTCTCATTGACGTCGACGGCATCACGGGCAGTCATCCCGGGGGACAATTGCTGTCGGATTATCTGCGCCTGGAGAAAGCCCAGCCGTCGCGCAGTGAGCGAACACCCGAGGCCGAAGCCGGTGCCAAGCTGTCGAGACGCGTGCTCACTTGCTGCTGGGATAGTATGGTGGCTGTCCTGGCGACTGGATTGAATCCTTGCAAAGACGAGAACGGAAAGGGCATTTTGGGTAAAGACGACGGTAGAAGTGCGGTCAAGGATACGATTGTTCTTTCACTGGAGGGACTGCACAAGGCGGCTATGCTCAGTAATATTCTGGGTAAGTGAATCGCACTGTTATCTCAGCCATTGCCTTCATTGGCAGTTTTATAAGATCATTATTCCCCGTGAACAGGCTTACAAAGTCGTTGCGGTGCGATCTTTGCATTACTGGCCAAAGCTGCGTGCTCCGAACAGTCGATTTCCAAGCTGAGACGCACAAAGGACGTGCTCAGATTGAAGTTACAGAATAAAGCCACCAATTTGCACACCTCGCACGCGCTGAGTATGGAGGTTCTCTTGGCCAAAGGATTGGAACTCGGAAGCCATGGAAGCGATTGTTGGCCTCACGTTTTCACGTAAGAAAAGTGGTCTTTAAATGAAAAATCTTCAAAGTAGTGGAAAGTTTACGTCGCTTTATTTCTTCAGGTGCTGTTTGTACGTTAGTAAGTTAGAACACGATTTCTTTGGAAAGAATCAAAACCTAGCTTTCCCGAAGGTCGCAAAGAAAGAGAAGAAAGAACCGAAGGAGCCAGCTAATGATTGTAAATCGAATCAAGATAGATTGCGTCTTAGTTTTAATATCGTTGACGATGACGATGATACTTGGTGAGTATCTTTCAAATAATTCTCAAAGTGAATTCATTTTTAATTTATCAGTAGTAATATGCTCGAATAGTCAGGCATAGTCAGGTTAAAAAAATGCAATTTGTTTCAGTGTGGACGTCTACAGCTTCCTGTCAACGCCCTACACGCAAAGCACAGCCTTAGAAACGATTCCCGAGATCATTCACGAATCTAATGCGGACAATCAGTTCAATGGAATTCTACCGGCCGATTATGCCGCAAAAATCGTTTGCGTTCTCTCGCAGCAAGTCGACAGATTATTCGAGGATGCGGCGCTCAAGTTGAATTTACGAGCTTTGTGCTCATTTCTGCAAGCGCTGTGCAGTGCAAGCAAGGACCAGCTGTTCAAGAGCGTCGATGATAGTCAAGAGAATAGGAAAATCTGGTGGCGCAGAAGTAAGCCACGCGAGGAAGAGCTCAATGTTTTGCTACTGTCGAGGCTCGGCGAAGTAGGCTCCCGTTGCAATTTCGTTTTATACCACTTCGTTCTCGGTTTTAGCCTCTTAATCTTTGCCCGACTGTCCAGGTAATGCTCAAATGCGTAAAAAGTGGACGTCCATTGATCCACATAATGAGGGTATGGAGTATCTTGGGTCCGCACTTCATGGAGGCTGCTTGTCATAAAGACCGTGGCATCTCGAAGAAAGCGGTCGAGTGCATCCACGACTCGATGGCTGCGTTACTGAACGATCAACTCGAGCTACCCCATTTCCACTTCAACGAGGCGCTTTTCAAGCCCTTTGAAAACCTCTTGTGTCTTGAACTCTGCGACAGCGACGTGCAAGATCAAGTGAGCAATGAAATACAATAGCTTTACAAATCTCCCGGATAATACCTTTTGAGTGATAGGTTAAACAAACGAAAATCAATTGCAATTCCAGATTGTCAGCTGCATCTGCGAGTTCGTAGAGACGAATCGCACGGAGATCCGTTCGGGTTGGCGACCGTTGTTCGGCGCTCTGAAGGTCGCTTCGGTGGGTAATGCCGAATGCGTCGAGTCCGCGCCTCTCCTCGAGGTCTTCCGCATCTTTCTCAGCACCGACAATCCTCTTGTTTTCGCCAACGCTGCTCTCGATTGCATACTCTGCTTGCTGAGGCATGTGCGCGGAATCGGCGAGCCCGATGCGCCGCTGGCTGAAGCTGGTGCTCGTAACGTGCGTTATTTTTACGAAGTTACAATTTTTTACTCGGTAACGTTGAAGTTTGTTGAAATTTTATGCACGGTTCGCTGCACAGGACTCTTCCACTGAGACGGACGGTCGAAAAACCGGGCTATGCTTGGAGAGTCTCAAATATCTGCTAAACTGTAGTGAAATTTTGGCCTCCATGTACCGAATGCCTGCCTGTCCGATCTTCCACGCCGCTCAAAAAATCCAGATGTCTAGTATACCGCAGTATGTCGATCCTATTATACCGAATCTAGAAATAGCACGTTTCGACAGGAAAAGCGATTCATTGCACGATGTCATACCAGAAGTGTCTTACGAATTGCTATCGACTTCTTCGGACACCAAGACGGTCAATCTGCAGGCTATGGATAAACCGAGCGGTATACTTAGGTGAGCATGTGACCTTTAGTTCGACGATACTTTCAGTCTATAAGAGAAATGTCATAATTTCTTTTCAGAGTTTGGTACTTACTCATCGAAGGTTTAGCGAGCGCAACAATGATCAGTCCAAAAAAGTATCAACCCCATACACTGGAGACGTTGTTCCATTTATTGAGAAACACGTTGAACACGCCTGGACCGCTGTTCGGCTTGTACTGCGTCAATCATTTGCTACTGCCGATGGTACAGAACTGGCTTCGCAAGACTTCGAAAATCTATCGTGGATGGGACAATTTCGCTCCGAACTTCAAGCAGTGCTGCGGGCTCACCACAGACCTGATCGTCGATTTCATAGCTCATTTACAAGGTTCGCGTTTATACTCTCCACTGGGATCTCGCAACGCGATGCACCGAGAAAATATATGAACGTTGTCGATTCGACAGGGCCCGACGCGAAAAGGGAAGAAGCCTTCTTAGCCGCAACGACGTTGATGCTGAAGCAGCTGTTCTTAGTCATGGCAGAGTGCGTCGTTCAACCGACCGAGAGCATCGCTAGGCTTGGCTGTGCCTGCATAAGGTATAATCTACGGTAGTGCGCCAATCGTCACACGTCAGACTCGGATCGAGCCCTTATCGGTGTCTCCACCAAAGCCACGCGAGAAAGTCAATACGCGTGCCCAACGAGCGAGAAAGCTTCTCGCGAGCAACGTGCCTACTCGCTAGTTGTCTCCCATTCAGAGCGAGCAATACAGTCGCGAGCTCTCGCTACAGAGACACCCTATATCTCATTCGGTGTATGAATTACACGGCGGATTCTTTCGCGTCGGCGTCTCGTAGGTATATATCGATGACTAATACCGCTACGAGGATCGAGGGAACACATAGCTTCTTTCGCGAGCCTTTACTGGCTCGCAAGATTGCGCAAGCGGTGGAATGCGTGCGCGTATATACTTGTTGGTAGGCAGAACCAACAAAGAGACATAATGAAGCTTGACAGGTCTGCGTGCTCATGCCACCGACACTCGACACCCTATATCGGCACTTATATAGCCCTCCATACGTTGACTCCACTTCATTCACTGTGCGCTTCTTTCTTCTCCTTTCGAGCCGCCTCGCTCTGCTTCTTTATTTTCCTTTGTCATTCTCGCGCTTTTCGTTGGCTTTGCCTTTTGGCTTCGGATGCGCCTTCACCAAGTCAATTGACGGAAAGTTCGGCGCAATTGTCAGCAAAGTTTTTCGCAGGTAGCCAAAATTCTTTTGGTCAGAGCGACGAGTCAGCTTCGCGTCCAACTGGTCCGCAGCCAACGTAGACTCGCTCCGTTTAATCGCTCTTAGCTACGCAGATTTTCCGATCGTCTCGGTTGCCTCGGTCGCCTCTCTCGTCGGCGTCGCATACTTTCTCATACTCGCACAAGTATGGCGTCTTGACTGGTACGTAATTCTAGCCGCGCGGGATATCAGTGCACGGCGATGCAGTTATTATTTCTTCTCGATGATCCTTAAAAACTGTAGCGACGGTACCGCGAGCCGGAGCCCCCCCCCCTCTCTCTCTATCGCGGATCGCGTTATAGCCGGTCGTCGACGGGAAAAGCGCCGATGATACGCACCGAGAGAAAGGTATCACTGAAATTCTATATCGGGACACGCGTGCGCTCGAGGACGTCCTGCACGGCGCTGCCTATTGCCGCTGGCAGAATGCGAAAAAAACGCGAATCGTAGAGGCGACGATCGCTTGACCCCCGTGAAAATTGCCGACAGGCACGTACTCGTGAGCAGCGGCCCGAACCTGACTGCCGACCAATGGCAAGTGTGCGGGGTGGCGTGTCACCGCGCCTGCTCCAACTCGCTGCAGGAGCTGCACCAGCTGACGATGGCCTTCTCGCCGCGGTCCGAGTCGTTTTACGGTGACGCCGCGCAGGTGAAGGTCGCCGCGAGACGCGACAGCACGCCCGAGGAAGCCGAGAGACTCCGTCAACTTGCCGCCCAGGTAAGCACACGCTGCGTCGCTCCCTCGTCTGTGTGGGCTCATCCCTCGAAGCTATACGAACGACGTAGCACCGAGGCTTGTAGCTGCTCGTAGTAACGTTCGAACATTGACAGTAGGCATTCATGCGACTCGCGCGCTGTTTATTTCTCCGCTTTGACTTTGTATGAGCTCTTTCTGGTCGTACACGATCAGATACGAGTACCTTGATTTCACAAATGTACGGCAGTTAACTTTGTAAATTATCCGACTGTACACGCTAATGTCAGTTTGAAAATAAACAAGTTTTTCCAATTTTTTCATTGTAACAAAGTGACAGTTTCATTTAGATTGATACTAGTGTCCGAAAGAAAATGAAGCCGACGCAAGACAACGAATAAAAGCAATAAAATTCTTTCGAAAAGACACGGCTGATTTCATGGCTGGTGTCGATTTGCATATATGCGTGTAGAGAGCTAAAGGTGAGAGCGTGTGCGTCCGACGCACGGCACACGCAGAGAAAAAAGAAATCATCGCCGGCAAATCGATTGTAGCGAGTGCAGCCGAGGCAAGCACGAGGCGAGCCGACAAAAAGCGCGCTCACTCGAAATGGCCAATATCGCGTGTGTGTGGGTGTGTGTGTATGATAAATCCGCCAGGTGAGCCAGCTTCGCGAGGTATTGACGGCTATCAAGAGGCAGTCGGTCACGGCTCTGCGTACGATGCCTCACCAGGACACTCTGAGCATCGAGACGACAATGATGCGCTCCGCTGCCGCCAAGGCAACAACCGCTACGACAACAACTGCCGCTACTTCGTGTTCTAGGCAGCACACGACTACAACACCCCCCGTTTACACTAACACTACGCCTAACAAGGCCAAGCCCCATTGGCTCTAGTCCACGGTAACTCTCGTCATGGATTTTACACACATGCCAATATTATTATTCTATATATTTCAACCAGTTGGCGCCCCTTATTCGACAATTTTCTTTTATCTTTCTTTCCTTTCTGTCGACATTACTGTGCTGTTATTCACTTTTTTCTCTTTCTCTCCTTTCGTGCTCTTTTCAATATTCACTTTTTTTATTTCGTATTGATTGCTCGGCAGAGTTTGGTTGAGGGCCTCGTTACATCACATTTATCAAGCTTTCGTTTTGGTTTTTTATTTACTTCTTTATTTTTTGAGAGAGCTGTGAGCTTCGCGAATGGTCATGAAGCGCTTTCGATATCCAAGACACAGTAACTTCAATTTGTTCATTGCCAGGCTGTTGCCTAAGTGCTTGAAATGGGACATTACCTGAACTAAAGTTTCATTGATTGTTATAATGACCGAAAATTTTTGTTTACGTAATGTTCGAGCTTACTGGCATAGCTTGATTAATTATGAGTAAGATGACGTGTCAGTATGACTTTTATAAATATTCGCTTTTGCTGCCTAATAGCGAGAGTGACGGCAATTGGAGCAGCGTGTTTTTACAAAATGTTACCGTTTATAAATCATGTTTAACCATGTTTAAATAATTCAATGTAATTGGCAAAGTTTAAAGCATTTTAGCTCTATGACTGAACTGAATTGAAGCTTTGTTTCTCATGCAGCTAAATATTGGGGAAAAATCCGAAGAAAGCATAATATGACATTTTTTTTCTCATTTTCTTTCATTGCTTTGTTTTATTTTTGTCGTTTGAAATCAATTGAAATCAATTGAAATCAATCACTAATGCACCCGCTATACTAGTCAGCTCACTAGTCAATCAAAGTCCTTTTCATTTGATTCTTTTATTATGGCTACTAATAATATCAGTTAGTAATAAAAAATTATCGAAAGTATTTGTCAATACAGCAGTCACGCTTAAGACCTTCTGTACTCATTGTAAATAGTCAATATGTTATTTTTAATTCTTTCTGAAAACCATCTGACTTGTATGTCGAAGTAGTCAATTGAATGTTATAAAGGCATCATTTTTTTACGTTATCGGTAATAAAAATGTAAATTATCTATCGAGTGTACCCATCACACTACTACATAGTTTGTTACATGAAGTAGCTAACGATGGAACCTTGTCAATAAATAAAAATACAGAATATAACTAATAATTTTTCGCGAACGCTCGTCAAAGAAAATCCATGGCTTGGGTCCATGGCTACAGAGTATATTATGTTTTCCTCCTCTCACTTTCAAAACACGATGCTGTAACACACGCGCGTACTTGATTGTGCGCGTTCAACACCTACGATACCCGTATATAGCTGAATAATTATTATATGGAAGAACTGTATACGAGACGCAGCTTCAGTAGAATGCACACATTAAATCCGACATACTCAAAGCTATATGCGACACATTTTTATATATTTACATATATTAATTACACGCCAGAATCACATTTATCCTCATATTTTCTAGCTTGCGTATACAACATTTTTATGGCCACCGACTTAGTCAATATAGTCGTTATTTATAATCACATTTGTGACACGTTTGATGTTATAGATTAGAACATATCCAAAAACCGATTGTGAATTATTAACAAATACCATATTGCCGACCTAATTCATAGAAAACAAAGACAGATTTACTATAGGATTATGATTATTCATTTGTGCGAAAACGACAATCTATTGTACTGTAACTTTTATGTAGTGGTCTGTCCTTGTAACCAATAGTCTAGTAAATTTTTCATTAGTGAGCTTTCAATCATGTAACGCCATAGTATAGAAGCTAATTAACCTTTGTTAAGCACTAAACAAGCCTTTTGTAACCAATTCACTAACGTGTAATTATGATTGAAATAGTGTGTTTTGTATAAAAAGATAATCACGTGTGCTCGGCGAATTAACCAAAAATTTATTTGAGCTGTAAGTTTGAGCTTTCGTTTGAGAAAAACAGTTAATTTTTTTATTTGAGTGAACGTTTTTCAATCGAAGCACATTCGATCAATAAAATTATTTTCTTCAAAGATTTTCGAAAGATGACACATTTTTCAATGAAGCAATACGCATCATGCGTATTTCGAAAATTATGTCGTCTTCTCTCGAAAAACAACGAGAGATAAGCCTACGGTTAGAATAATCTGAATAATGAAATTCATGTTCTCAGGTATTTCTAATGGAAGAGCAACGGCTAGAAGAGTTACTCGATTCTCCCGACGATAAATCCTACGTCTTCCTTCTCTACCCACCTTCGATCGCTTCGACTCTTAATCCTGAGCTCTATATCGTACGAGTACAAATGAGAGCTCTTGTAGTGGGTCTATTAGTGCATCAGATGCTATTGCATTCTATCGCAAGTGTTTTGCTGGAGGGCACAGACATTTCTGTTCCAAGGTTTGTTGGAAAATTGTTTATTTTTATCTTATAAAGAGGATTCTGGAGTTACTTATACAAGTACGCAAAGTGTGCAACTAAGATGATGTTAATCTTTTGACGTCTTGGCATGCAATTTCTCTTGGCGCCTCATTAAACTGATTACTTTGTCGTACAGCAGAGTCTTGACGTTTTTACCCCACAAAAAGTCGAGGTGATTGAATTGGTCATGTGGAACACGGATTCTGCCAAGAGCGTTCGGCAGTTTCTCGTATAATTTTTGTACATCCTTTTTTTTTAAAAAAAGTTAAACTTTCAGTAGTACTTGAAATCATGGATATTCTATTTTCGCCTACCTTAGGATTTGAAAGCCAGTCGTTGGAACTGTAGTGCAAAAATATCGGAACTTTGATGTTATCAAAGTTGTATTCTGGTGGCTTCGTAGTATTATATTTATCAAAATTCGTCCACCAACCGTAATCGTATTGTCGAAATTGACCTACACTCGGTAAAAATATGCTTAGGGCATTGTCGATAAGATAAACAATGATAAATAATACGAAAGTTGATTGAAGTGATTATTTATCTTACCACTTTTAAATAATTGAGAATAATGAATAAATTGTTTGGTACTCGATCCAGCAGGAAGATGAGCCAAGATTGCTGGTAGTAAATCCTATAAAAAACCAAAAAATCACATTTAGAAAAAAGTCGTTAATTAAAAAGTTAGGATAAGGAAGTTTTCTCATTAACCTTATCCATCAACTCATTGCTGTATCCACAAATCATAAAAATGATGTTTGTGCATATGGGTTGGGCTAGGCTAGTTTTGTTGCAGAAATGCGACGTAAATTTTTGGAAAAATTCTCCAGTTGGTTGGAACTCGTATTTACCGAAGTATCGTCTGAACACCTACATGATCATTAAAATGAACAAATGGAATTAAATGCTATCTCGTAATATAAATTTGATGTCTTACGTCGAGTAAGGGGTTGGCAGCCGCGAGTATTCGGAATATTGGACTTTTTGTGTTCGAACAATAGGCGATAGGTGCAAGCGAAAACATCGTCATGATTTTATCATTGTACTCTGGACGTTCGCTTAACATCGCGAAAAATGACGTACTACCCTGGTTGTGACCTATGTAAATAAGTTTCTCGTATTCGGTCTTTTTCAAAATATAGTCGATCATTGTTGGCAAATCGTACAGTCCCATCTCATGGAAGCTATATCAAGTCAAATACTATTTAAAGATAGCCTTCAACAAATATTTTTATTTTCATTGAAACATAAATACCTGAAGTCCCATAAGTCAGATTCCGAAATTGAATCATTCAAATGACGGCGAGAGTATTTATTACCTCTAACGTTTCCCATCCAGACGTCGTAACCACGATCCGCAAGTATGAAAGCTAATCGATAAAGTAATTAATAAACAATTATAAAGTTTATAAATTTTATTCACCGGATCTCTAAACGATACCTAATCCCCTCTTTGGGCCAGCAATGACCCAATCCATCGAGCTACTCAAAATGCCATGAACAAGGAGAATGGGTTGCTTTCCTTTTGGACTTAAATTCTTTTGGTTTTCGGTAAATCTGTGCATTTCTAAAATATGTCCATCTTTTGTATATATGGTGTGAGCTTCAGATCCATAGCTGTATAATTCGCCCAACTGTACCTACAATCGATCAAGTAGAGTAAAATTACGTACGTATACAGTTGGCTAATCTAATGTTAATAACAAATGAACGATTAGGAGGAAGGAAATATATTTATGACAAAAACATTATCTTGGGTTACTTACGACATTGAGATGAGCATGTGGATGATCATTACGTAGTAATTGAAAATTCGTTACATTAAAAAAATTCGAGAAATCTTGGTCTAATATTTCTAAACTTTCATCGGCTAGTTCTAATTCTAACTCGGCGATGACACTAGATACTAATACAATTAATAAACCCACGAAAAGTTTCATTTTGAACGTTGCACTGTATGCAACGATTCAAGAATTAAATCGCTGGAAATTATGGTAAAGCTTATTTATACTAAATGAAACATCTAATGTGACGTAGAATGTTGATTGAAAATATTATCTTCTGATACCAAATCGTGCAAATCTGTCGCGAGTAGCTAAACTCTTTTCATAAAAAATTTATCATTTTATTTTACACGATCTCTATCAATTTTATTGAACTTTGGTCATATCTTTTATTCATGTTTTCTGCTTTCTTACGTAACCGTTACATGATAACTTCCAAGTTTTGTCCTTTTGTTCTTATTATACAAATAAAGTCGTCAAGACCAAGCGATAGAAATGCAAGATAAGCAGCACATCTGTCGCTCGAAGGTCTACTTTGGCACTTGGAGGAAGTAGAAAATAAAACATATTTTTCATACTCCATGCGCAAAGTGCAACTTTTCAATACCCTCGACGAAAAAAAAAATCGAACTTTGCATACGTATAGAAAACACGAATGTTCAAGAAAGAAATCACTGTCTCGTGGGACTTTTCACCCTCGCTTCGCTCGTATTGCGTAAACGCCACACGAGACAAGAATCTACTTTCCCGTACTTTGAAATGGAGTAAGCAAAAAACCAAGTTTTCAAGGATAGATTTACACAACTGGCTCCCATTTCCCCTTCATTTCGTTAGAGTTTAATCAAATCCATTGTTGTATTACGATGTACCTTCACGGTATAAGCTGATTCAGTATATAAAATCCTAAAAAATTTTAAATGCAATAAGCTTAGAAAACATATTCTATACTATTTTAATTAAGTCTGTACCGTGACATCGTCGATTTTTATCGTACATAGTACATTTGTTGGGTATACGCTAATTTTTTTCAAAAGTTCTTAACATTAAAAAATGCCTTTTCTTAAACGTCTATATCTCAGTAACCATTGAACCTATCGGGATGAATATATTTTCAAAATACTCATAATAACATTTACTTCAGGAGTATAATTAGTAAATATAATATTAATGAATTAATATTGACGCTTTTTATTAATATTCATTAAAGTCATAGAAGTGATTTATTTAGTAAATACATGAAAAATGTCAATTTAAAGCAAACAAATAAGAAGCTTTTAAAAGTGACATCTTTCTCCGACAGATATGCTCAGCTACATCTGATTCGTGCATTAAAAAGTTGCCAGTATACACGTTTATAACAATGAAGCGGCTGCGGTATACACATAAATATTTTTTAAATCTCTAATATGAATTTGATGAATATTAATTAAAATCGGCAATATTAATTCATAAGATTAAATACAGATTGACGCCGACGAGCCGCTACGTCTTGACTTCATTTGTTATTTACGACGTGTCCCCTCCAGTGAATCACACGTTTTTTATTGTTGTTTTCAATAGGAAAATTGTCAATGAATATATTGGAACAAAATTTTTTTAGATAAAATTTGATGTTTTTGAGTTATAAGCCCATGTTTTATATAAATATCGGTAAAATTAATCTCAACAACAAAATTGGTTTTCACTAATTAAATTCTTGGTATCTGGCGCAAAAACGTATATTTATCAATTTTCATTGAAAGAGTTTGAGTGGAGATATTATAAAGTATCGTGACAGTTGATATTTCATATCTGATAAATAATATGACTGATAATCTTTACATCTTACTAAAAGTAAGAGGAAAAATGTGTTGGAACTTATACTTTTATGAATGTATAAAAAATTTCGGAATTTCAAATTTTATGTTTGACTAATCAAGACTTATATATTTATTTTCTTTTGTTAAGAAATTCAAATTCATCGGTGTAAAGATTTATTTGCTGCTTCATGATATCAATTACTTTGTCGTAAAGCAAAGTTTTTACGTTTAAGCCCCATACAAAGTCAAGATGATTGAATTTTTTATGAGGAACAAGGAATTTCCCAACAACATTAGGTAGCTTGGAGTATAATTTGTTGACGTCCTTAAAAATAATATTATTTTGTTTCATACACTGGAAAGTTCGAAATTAAAAAAATTATTCAACTTGGTTACTTACTATTGGAGTTACAAGCCAATCGTTAGTGCTGTAATACAAAGATACCGGTACTTTAATATTGTTTAGTTTGTATTCTGGAGGTGAAAAGCTCTTGTACTTTTTATAATTTGCCAACCAGCCGTAATCAAATTGTCTAAAGTATCCTGAAGTAGTAACAAAATTTTGACTCGTTAAAATCGATTGAAGAAATTAACAATATTAATAACTATGCGGATATAAAGTGTCTTTTTTACCGGATTTAACCAATTGTGACAAATGGATAAATTGTTTGGTACTCGATCCAGCAGGAACATGGGCCAAAATTGCTGGTAATAATTTCTAAAGTTAAAGTGACGCAAAAATTAAAAAATAAACTCATTAGGATGTATCTTAAGAATAAGAGAATCAAGGTCTCACTTCGTCAAGCAGCTCTTCGCTGTAGCCGCAAATCAAAAATATAATGTTGGTACATATGGGTTGCGTAATATGGGTTTCATCGCATAAAAATTTCGCAAATTTGTTGAAAAACTTTCCAGTTGGCTTGAACTCATATTTACCGAACAACCGAAAAATAACCTGAAAATAAACATAATTAAATAAATGACTATAAATTAATTATGAAACAGCACTGGCACAAAATATAGTTACAAAGGTCTTACGTCAATCGTGGGATGCAGTATTGATAGAGCACGAAAGACTGGGCTAGTTAGATGCGATAAAAAGGCAACAGGTGCAAGAGCAGTCATCCCAATGATTTTATCATTGTATTCCGGACGTTCACTCAGCATTGCCCAAAAATGTGCAGTTCCTTGACTGTGTCCTATGTAGTAGATTTTCTTATATTTTGTCAATTTTAGAATGTGATCGATCATCGCTGGTAAGTCGTATTTCCCAATTTCGTGAAAACTGAAGAGTAATAATTGATTTTATTATTTGGAAAAGAAGAGTAATGTGGTTACGTGTAAAATGTAGATCAAGAACCTAACGTCATAGTATTCAAATTTTGAAATAGCGGTGTTGTTGTGCATGTGCGAATATTTATTGCCTCTGACATTTCCCATCCAAACGTCATAACCAAGATCCGCAAGTATGAAAGCTATTTGATAAATTGATTAGCAATGCAGTATCCATTTAACTTCCTTATAATCAACTGATTTTAATTAATTACCTAAGCCCCTTCCTGGTCCAGCAATTACCCAATCCATCGAACTGCACAAAAGTCCATGTACAAGGAGGACTGGCTGTTTTCCTATAGAACTTAAGTTGGTTTGGTTCCCAGTAAATCTGTGCATTTCCAATATGTAACCGTCGTCTGTTATAATCGTGTGAATTTCCGCTCCATAATTGTAATATTCACCCAATTCAGTCTGTGACAAAGTTATAGGTAATTTTTTCATTCACAAAAATTATATACTGCAAATTATATTCTAATAATAGTTTATTTATTTCTGTAACAACAATCAGAATGCAATTGCTCGCGATTTTGTCTTATATGTGTACGTGCATAAGAACTGCAATGTCTTGAAAAGTCTTCAACGTATCTGTGAGATGTTTATACGATTCGCTGTTCAGATTTTTACTTATTTAATAATATTTTTATTGAGATATCGAGCTTGATTAAGATTTTCTCTGATGTTAAGTATTTTATAATAAAATACAACATACAAATTTATCTCTATCAATATGTGTTTTCTCATCGAAGAATCAATCAATAACCGTAACGAGAGAACCTGAGCATTGCTATCTTCGTTGATGTGAGAAGTTGGTATTTTAACAAATTAATGACACGTCCACGTAATAAAGATTAATATTGAAAATGTTAGTGGCGAATTCTATGTGAATACTTGTTCTCATTATTATTTATAATAAATAATATTCCTTTAAAAAAACGAATCTTCAAAATACTTAAAAATATCCATTGCATTCATTGTTACATGGATACGTCCATAGTCTTTTACAACATACGGCAGACTACATGTGTGCATAAATCTTATGAATGCATTTTATTTATTAATTTTTTTCATTTCAAAATCAAGTACTTATATTCTATGAATTTGTCCGTTCAATTGAATGGCCCTAGTCTGGCCGTCGGAGCATGCTCAAGCCAACCTATTCTTTTCTTGAATTTCATGTGAATATAAGATAGAATCTGCTTATATATATTGCAAGTATAGTACGCTCGAGTTTGAGTATTTGAGCGCATTGTGGTTTACACTCGAATCAATTGAATTTTTTTTTAAATAACTCAAAGACGTGCTACCGCGTGCTTCGACGGCCATACCGGAAGCAATTTAAGATAGCTTTCATAAATACGCATTGCTTTATAAAATACATGCGCGAATTAAAAATACTCACAACTTTCATATGAGCATGAGGATGATCAGCACTCATTACTGTAAACTTGGTCATATTCCGAAGGTGGTATAATTCAATTTTTCCCAATTCCAAATCCAATGCATTTTCTAGTTCTGGAGTAAAATCAGCGGCAACGCTACCTGTTATTACAACTAATAAACTCACGATGTGCTTCATCTTGAACATCCTGACGCAGGAAGTAGTTCAAGAATCAATCCGTTGGTCAACCTTTCATTGATTCTATTTATACCAGCTCAATATCCCGAGATGAGGAGCAAGGTCGGTTTCAAAATTGTTATCTACTTAATGATACCCAATCTTGTTACTAAACGGCTTCAGTCGTGTATTTCTGTATCAAATAAATATTCTTATGTCCCGACGAGCAGGTGTGCTGTTATCGTACTTCGTCTTTATCTTGTCGATTAGCTTTGATTCTTCATATGTGCGTAGAATTCTTTCAGTATCTGTATAAACATTATGCAGATGTTTGGTATAAAATTAGCATTTCATTAATTCACTTCAATGCAAATATTATTATCGCCATCAGAATATCCATTTAATTACGCTGTTATTCATGTGAAGAAGCAAATTCTATGGAAATTATTTTTTCCGATAGTAGGGGCTCTCACTGATTTTTAATCAAAAGCAAATGGTATATGCATTTCACTAAAATTTCACTCAAATGTATAGGAAGAATTATAATATCTATCAAATGTAAAAGAATGAGGTTTTGAAATCGTTGTGCGTGTAGGTGTTTCGATAAACCGTTGGCAACGTGATGCAACCCAAAATGTCAATAGCACACGACACTACAAGTTCATCAATAAAAAAATCCATTTTTCGTTTATTTCAGTTTGTCCAACGTGTTAATGAGTCCATCATTGTCATCGCCAAAACCTCGTTCATCAGTAGCTTTTCTGACGCATCTTGAGCCACGACACGTGGATACTTTGCTCTCGGCACTGGACCTGTCTTACGCAGCAGCGTTGAAGTTGGACTCTCGACCCGGATTAAAATTCCTTCTACAAAAAGTCGCTAATCTCCAACGACCAGCTAATCTCTATCATCAAGCTTGCACAGCTTGGACAATCAAGATTTTCACATTGTTCGAATTGTGCTTGCGGGAAGTAGCCAAGAATGGAGTTGACTTTGAAAGCGTTGGATTGATTTTGAATGACGAAGTTCGTCCAGAGTCCAAGTATCGCCAATTGTTGAAATATCTGAGCTTATTACAAACGACATTTGACGAGCTCTGCGGCACATACGTGGATATCGCGCTTGACAGAGATGGCAGATATACGAAAGTGGACTCTTTTGCTGAGAAAAAATTCTTTCTGTTGGTTTCTCAACCCGACGAATATACTGAGATTGTAGGTAAGGTGAAGCCCTGATTAATATTATTGTCTAATATGTCGATCATTTCGACGGTTCATTTATTTGCTGCTATAGCTCAAAACAATACGTAATACCGAAGAAAGATATTTTTGTGAGGCGAAGAATGTGCAATTGTTAAATACACGAGTGCCATTAAGACTCAATTGTACACTTCTTGGTCTCACAATCGCAACGAAACTTTATTTTAAACGTTGTAACATTGAATTAAAACCATCTTACATAAATTAATTTTATATAAATGCTTATTAATTATGCTGCAAAACATTTAGTTTTTATCAAGCCAAAATTGTGCGAAAGATATAATGTATAACTAAAAACAACAGTATTTCATAAAAAAAGTAACATTCAACAAATGCTATGAGAATGAATATTGAAATTTTCAATTCATTAAACAATAACCTAACGCATATATTCATATATATATAAAGATCCAAATGAGGATGGCGCAAACGAGAATAATCGGCTAGTCTACAGCGTTACGCCAAACTCTGAGGACGATTACGCAGATGACGATAGTGCCCTCAAGGATCTTGGTGTTAACGTACCTGTCGAGGAAGACGCTCGACCATTCCGTTTATCCGATTTAGCTGCTGAGTATTCTACCGACTCTGGTCCACAATCGGAGCCGGAGACTGACGATTCAAGACCTTGTTCGAGATTAGGGTCGAGTAACTCAAGGACCGTATATTTGGATCGATCGGGTGGCGCGACCAGCGAAGATCTAGTCGAGTCTTCGCATACACCTGATATGGACAAAGTATTTATGCCAAAAAGTATATTCAAGGAGGTCAAAAATGATACGCCTGATAGTGAAAGAGAGGAGGCTAGCGGTGATGCTTACCCCAAGGAAAGGATGCGGAAGAGCGAGGATTGTCTATTGTCCAGAAGGTGAGGGATTATCCATTTATTACTTAATTCATTTAAATATTTAATTGATAGTTCTGTGAAATATGGTTTACGTAAATTATTCAAGAATAGTTTGAGAAACCGATTTGAAATTTAGTAGATGAATTATAAAATTATTCGAAAAGTTTATTTAATATCTTTGTTTTTCGCGATAATTGAAGGTGTATGCTTATGCATAGTATAATATTTTGTTGTTCAGGTACGAATTGAAACCGTCCTTCATCAATGCATTTCAAAGAAAAATATAGTTAGATTTAAAGAAGTTTATTACAAGTAAAATTGTAAAGTAACTTTCATTTGCACTTATAACATCTTTATTCATTATCTATATTTTGCTATATTGTAAATTTTCTCAAGTCTAAATACTGCAAAAAATAACAATACTCTTACTTGACAATTTCCACTTGACAGATGTAAACAAGTCACAGATATATTTTTGACAGGTATTGTTTGAGAGCCTAGCGTTGGTCATGCGTTTACTGGTGTTTGCTTTGCTGTATAAACATACGTATTTACCTCACGCAACCGTAATTGTTTGGGATCTTTCGATAAATTCTAACATTTACATTTACAATTATTTTTAATTACATTTTAATAAATTGCATTACCGAACATATCCTTGAAAAAAATAAAAAAACATCAGATAAGAAAACGTCATAGTACGCAATAATGACTAAAATTGATGAATCGATTAGACGACAATCGTAATTCGATGTATGATTACCCTTGGGCGTGAAAATATTTTACAGGTATAACTTGAAATTCATCCAGAAAGGCGAACTCGATGCGAAAAAGGAGAGTACGTACTTCCGGTCTAAATCCATGATGGAACTGAGTCAGCCGAAAGAGCACCAATCGCGGATTGTTCATCAATCATCCGCGGTGACTTCCACTAATACCGAATTACCCGAAAGCGACGACGAGGATCTAACACCTGCAGCTGAATGTCCACAGACAGCACCGATCGATGCCGTGAAAGCTCTACTCGAAGAACACGAACGTAGCAAACGGGGCCTCCGTACAAATCCATTTTTGCAAGACGAGCACGAGAAAATGCTGATTGCTAACAGAGCGATGAGCAGCATTGACGACGACGGACAGGCAGCCAGAGATGCTAATAAGGACAGTGAGATTCGCAGGAAGGCTTGGGCCGAAACTATTGCCGCTAGTATCGAGTACGCGCTTGCACTTTCGGTGAGATATTTCGTTTTCTTAGCAATTTTTATTGCTGCGTGGTCAGTAACGATAATTAGAATTACGTAAAAGTTGCGTTTCAAAAATTCAATTAAAAAAGCTTTCAAATATTTGAAAAGATGTTTCGCATTTTTATTACATAGCCATCTACAATCGTCATTCATAACCAATGCAATCGACAATGCCATATGAAAATACACGATTGTATCAGCATGCCTCGTAATGATCTCATCGCAGTGACGCGGCTGATTTGCAATAAACGAACGATTGTCAATTTGAGATTAAATCCCGAGGCCGAAAGGCAAAAACTTTCTATATGACTGCAGCAACCTTGCCCGAGGTATACGATTGTGATAATAACGGTGTGTATTCTCGAAAAACCGGTCGACCTTGGCGCGCGGCAGCGCCGAACTTCCGAAAAGTCATAAAAAGGGTGACAAACCGGAGCGATTAGCGTTATCTTGCCTGTCTCCGTTCCACGAGATCGATTATAAAAGGCCGAACGGCTTCTTTGAAACGAAATCGTTCCCGAAAATAAATACGAGTGTGTAGCGCGTATATCTGGTGTGTTGCAGGACGAGCGATTGGCGCCGTTGCTTCCGGTTCTGCTGGGCGGAGTTCGAATACTGACGCGACACGCGCACGAGTCGGCGCTCAAGCATCGGCTGTCGGATCTCTTCCAACGCATCGCTCATATCTATAAGACCAGACTCGCCGCCAAGTGAACTGCTAGCGGCTACATTCAATTTTTTCTTTTTCTTTTTCTTTTTCTTATTCTTTTTTGGTCTCACGTTCACGGAAAGCTACAACGTTGTTATACGTCTACTTTCTTTTCTTGTTCCTTTTTTCGTCGTCTATGGATATTGTCTATATAAAAAACATAGTAAGAGGTTGTATTATCGATGTACAAATACGGATGGTCAAACTATATTTTTGAAAGTCTTGTTGTTACATGTTGCTAAAAAAAATTCGACTGATAGGTGTTTCAAAGATTTTATGTCGTGTGTGGAGATGCCGTTATATTTTTGTATTAAGTTCTTAGGCATTTAGTAAAGGATGTGTAATGAACCAAAAATCGAGCTTTCCGTGAACTTTGGAGTTATAGAAAATTGAATAAATTGTTTGCTAAGGGGCACAAGTATCATGATAACATTGACTCAGTGGAAGTGTTAATTATTCTTCGTGTTCTGATTCGGATGAATACTGAGTTGTCACAACCGTTAGGCGATAAATTTTTTCGAGTACAACTTCTCTGTGCTCTGTTTGTACGGTATACAAGTGCATTATAAAGTTGACTGATTCTAGAACAATTTATAAAATAAAGATGTTAATTAATGATTCTTGTACTAAAAGTATCTATATACGATAAGTAAGTTGATCTTACAACAATGGGTATTATTGCGCGGTCAAATGACATTTTCAATTACACTATGAACGATGAGTCGATTGATTACTATGGTCATATATTTAACTGACTGCACTGTTTGATCCAGAAGTATAATCTTGTAACATTGATTCAAAGCCATGCTTATTTCGAAATAATATTATTTAAGTTTTGGATCTTAGTTTCTTTCGATCGTGCCGTAATATTATCTCATGAACGGTTATATTCGAAGATTTTATTAAAAGTTAGTGGCGTGTAAGAAATCTCTCTTACGTTCAAATGCACGATATACGGCTGTGGTACAGAATGGCAGGAAATGAACAGTATATTCGCTTTGCCGCTCTCAAGATTATATATATATATCGAAATCTGGTGCTAATGCACGCGTATTTTACCGATGAATATGATTAAAAACATGTTTGCTGTTTTGATCTTTTTATTGGCCCATCGTCATAATTTAAAATATTTATATTGCTTTGTTTCTATCGAGGAGTTGGGCATTTTGCGCAACTTGTTAGGAAAAATTGTATACAATACTCGCACGCACGTAGGTGTCTCCCGTCTTGTATCGTAATATACTATTTTAATTGCTATATACAACAAACTCGATATTAGTCCTAACAATATCAAATGTTTCGTTCAGTGTTCATTTGCATTGGAATACTCCTTCGCTTTCCCAAATTAGAACAAATTGAGTACATTCAGTTACACGTTTGATTATTGTGTGTGAAAAATATGAAAAAAACCATTAGAAAGGTTGAAAAGCGACTGAATATATCATTAAAGAAAATATATAAACAGCTAAAAAAAATATATATATATATATATATATATATATATATATATATATATATATGTATGACTGTAAAATAATTAATATTGTACACGTATATTATGATGCATATATTTATGTCGAGCTAAACATTATTCGGCAATGAACTGGATTTTGTATCTGAAGTGTTGGTATTATGTGATTGTTGCTTCAGTATTTTTGTGAATGGCCAGTCAAATAATAAATGACAATATAAAACAAGAAAAAGATGACACGTGTTTTATTTGATATTATGTTAATTGTATGAAGACTTCTGAATCTTGAACATCCTTGTAAAAAGTGAGGATGACGCACATAATTATAACATCCTGATTCGAAGAAAGTGAACTAAATCTACGTGGCAGGTGATCCATTTGCCGCGCGCTCTGTCCATCAACGAACATCATCACTTATTCTCGACCGTGCTAAAATTTCCAATCCATTGCCGCCGACTTGCAATTCAGTCGCAGAATCGAGTAAAAAATAAAACTCGGCGAAAGATCTCTCGCGTATCAACATAACTGCAGGCGCGTCTGTCGCGAAGCGAGAAAGAAGTTTCGCGGTTTTGCGCGCCTCGTAAAGAGAGAAACTTACGAGGCTTGTCTCGCTCAGTCATTGGTCCTCGCGAGCGCGCGGGCAAACCTCAACGCGCTGGCAGAAGAAAAATCTGACTCTCGCTCCCTCGGCGAGCTAGAATTCGCTCGCTGAGAGACAGCGGAATAGCGGAACGCCTATATCTCAACTAATTCGTCATGCCCGTCTTCTTCCTGGATGCAAATGATTATGGGCGCTTAACCTTAGAAAGTTTACGTACGGTGGTTAGATATTTGAATATTTTCGTTTTGCCGGTGACTCTGCTAGAGCCTCGTGGGCAATGTTTCATCGCGTAAGATCGAGAGATGGCTTGATATCTCCCAAGAACAACCACACGTTAAACTTTGCATGCTCCGTAAAATATCAGCAATACTTCTCGTGCTCTGTTACTCACGTGGACTGTGCAATTGTTTTACAAGAATGGTTACTCCTGAATTATAGCATTCTACAAATGAATCATGTCTTTTTTCAAACTAGTTCATAGACGTCTGTATCGCCAAAATGAGGGAACGGAAACAAATATTTCGGAAAACCCAAAGAGCTCAATTGCGCGTTGAATAATTGAAAATCGAGCGCATCGATATCGCGCCTTCGAGAGCCAAAAAAGAAAAAAATGAACGATAAAAAAAATGAGAGGGAGAACGAACGCGCCAAAGTACGAAACCGCACATATTCGCGTGTGGTGACCGAGAGAGAGAGAGAGAGAGAGAGACAAAGAATGGGGAGAAAGTAAAAGCTCTCGTCGAAGGAGTATAGAAAAGAGAGAGCCGATAAATCGTCACTCGCGTTCTTTTTTTTACGATCGCCGCGCGCATCCCCCGTATACACGTATACGGCCGCGCCGAATGAGATAGAGCTCGGCGCGCGTTTAATATTTGAGCGGACAGTTGCGGTTCTTTTTACCACCCGCGCGCGCCCGCGACACTATTGCCTCCTTGCGAGACATTTTTATGTATCGGGGGGATATTCCCTCCCCCCTACCCCTGTCTATGTGTGAACGTTTTGTTGTGGCAGTTCAAACGTTTTGTTGTGCGTGCGCGTTCATGAGAAGCAATTTGGTGCGAGGATTTAATATTTACGATAATGAAAAAAAAAAAATTTTTTTTTCGAATCGATACTCAACTCGACTGAATTTAGAATACTAATATTTTTTCAGAAAAGTTATTTCAAATGTGCTATTTTCGTGTACATGAATTTATTGAGTTTTCAATAATTAAATTTCACTTCATGTAATAGTACAATTTTAAAAACGAGCGTCATACAATATGATTATCAAGTACTTACCGACGACGTTGGAAATGCAAATGTATCCTATATTGCAGCAAAATAAATTCGTGAGGTGCTAATTGTTTAGATAAATTAAAAAAAACTATTCTATAAAATTCGTTTTGCGCGGTACGCGTATCCGAATGGAAAAGAAAAAAACATACGTTCTCGTAATAAATAGCGATCGAAAAGAAAATTACTCTACGGATAAGGAGATGGCAACGTTAAACCACCTTTGGATACCGTTGTAACAATGTATACGTTTGCGCACCAGATGCCGTTCGGTCAATTCAAATAAGCAACGAGATCCAGGTAAATATCGAATTTTATACTTTTCGAATATTATTTATTCTACAGTTGTGAATACGCTTATAATTAATATAATTGTAATATCGTTCCAATTACGCTAAATACATAGGAAACTTACCTTACGTTAAGTAGGGGCCCACGTCAAAGTCAGAAGTAGTTCTTTCTGAAGCATGAATACTCCGGCTCAAAGTCCTTTTTTTGAATTTTCACAATTTTATTGTGAATTATCGAAAATTATTGCGAATGTCATCCATTGAGAGTAAGTTAATAACTGAATAAATCGATAAGGATAGGTAACAAAATAAAGAGTACAACGTATGTAAATAGGAACGAATTCGGCAAGATAGTTTTTTCAAGTTTTATTTAATGGAAAATATCTGCGTATGTACAATATATCAAAGTCTTCCGTTCGCGCGGTTTCTCTCTCCTTTGCTCCCGAAGGGAAAGCCAAGGAAAACGGCTATAGTTTCTTTTATCATTATTCTCTTGTATCTTGGTTGCGCTGCGTCACGCGCTATTGGCCTCGAAACAAAAATTAAAAAAAATAGGCGGCGGCCGTCTTTAATATTGAGATCCTATCGGCGAGTTCCGGTGCGTAAAGTTGTACTCCCTTCATCTTGTGCGGCGATCGCCTCGTGGTGTGTGACCATCACCTGCCGGTCACTGTGCCAGCTACGGGGTGATGATACGATTATCAGTGCTTTAACTCTGAAATCAAATAAATAACGATTGTTTACGAGAATTGAAAAGAATTTTCGTTTTTCACGTCGTTTGATTATCTCGCCCGTTTATGCTGCGAGTAAAGTCGTTAATTTTAATAAACTTCGCAAACGACGAATGAATCGACCCATTAATTTAACTGGCAGTATTATATACGAATAAAAAAATGAGGAATCATAAACATGTGAATTTGCTAGAGTGTAAACTACGAGTTTAAAAAAAAAGTTACCTGAACCGTCCAAAGTTCAGAAGGTGTCCTTTCAATACGGTCGCCAGACATCATTGCGCTGCTCATTCTCCTCACCCAATACACCAATCTCCAGTCTATTACTGTTGATCGTGAGATTGTTGGCGAGCGAATCGTCGCTGATGTGCAGATGAATTTGATTCTGATTGATCGTGCTGGTGAACACTTGAGGATAGAGCACCATCGGCGCCGGACTAATATAATTCTGCGCCGTTGGATTCTGGTGATAGTAGCCTTGATAATTAGGATTGTAGCCGGCCGCGGCTACAGGAACGGGTGTCGCGGGCGCCGGTGCCGTTGGCCAGCCGCCGTAATGATAGCCGGCACCACCGCTTGGACTGCTACTCGCGCCGTACATGTCATCGGTACTTTTCGTCGCTACCAATGCCGTCGTTGTCGGCGGCGGGGCTGACGGCGCTGCTACCGGTGCTGCCGTCGTGCCGGCGTGACTTGGATACATCGACACGCAATTCGGCGTGTACGCGTCTTGTTGACTGTCTGACGGAAGCACTGCGCAACAAAAGCAAATTTTCAACGTGCAGGCATCTCAGCGACTCTCTTACTCTTCATCGTTCTCAAGTGAGCGGCGAACATTTCTGTTCTAATCGTCTGCAGTGCAGCTTACGTTTCCAAAGCGCTACAAACCGGCCGCACCCTTGAGCAAGATAGACTTGTCGTCCGATCGATGCGCGCGAAATGAACGATACTAAGTCGAGATAGCGAAAAAAGTCTTTACGAAACTTGGACGCGAGCGGAGTGGCTCTGATGAAAACGGGGGAACTTGGTCGCTCGAGCCCGCGCGTAGTACGCACACAAAGTTGGCCGTGGAATAATCTAAGCCTTTTACGCTTGTATATACAGTTAAAAACCAACGCTAGGGCAATTTGCGGTAAACTAACCGTCCGTTAGGTGGAGGCGAACAAAGAAGAAGATGAAGAAGGAAAAAAGAAAGAAGCTCCGCGCGACGCGTCATGCAATCAATTTTCAATTCCTGTGTGCAAGAAGCCTAAGCCTGCGCACGCGCGAGAAAAAGAACAACGCCTATTGCGCGCTCTGCTCTTTCTATTCATTTCGCGTTTCTCAGGGCTACGGGCAATAAAGGTGTTTATTTGCGGTCGAGCGACTACGGTCATCGATAAATGCGCGCTCGCGGACTTGTATGCGCGAGAGAGGAACGAAGTTTTAACGGAAGGGTTGAAAGTTCTCTCCGTCGTTTTTCTTTTTGATGACTGCGATCAAGGCTCGCCTGCGAGAGTTTAATGATCGATTATTAAAGACAGGACAGTTTGCTGATTTTGTATGCGCGGACACAATTTTGAATTATCGCGGAGCGAGGGCTGAAGTTATATCCAGGCTCATGGAACTTTGCAAGTGCAAAGTTAATGATTAAAGAAAATGGTTTCTGTGGTATTACAGCCAAGAGCGAGTGCTCTGGTAGTTTCTAGACGAAGGAATCCGAGACCTCGCGCTTTCAAAATGGAAAAAAGTCTAAAAGCTCACGTAGATTTTTCTATTTCTCTTTTTGCTGCGCGCTATACAATCAATTTGCGTGTTTCGATGTATGTTGCGAGCAAGAGAGAAGCCTGAACGAGGACTACAATTTTGAATAAGCCGTGCTTATCAAAGAGAGTACGTTGATGCATTAATGTCTCGTAATTATCCCCCTCCCCGCCGTTCGTGCGCGAGTATTCTATTAGCGTGTGCCGGTAAGTAAAGGCCTGCGGCAATTTAGCGCAGTTTATACATAAAAAAGCGCGTGCAAAAGAAGCAAGCAAGCAGAAGAGAGAGAGAGAGAGAGAGAGAGAGGACTATAGAGTTGTACCGGTTGGAAGGGGCACGGGCTCAGTGGTTGGGTGATGGGCGAGCGCCTCGCCTGGATAAGAGAACGCGCCACCTGGTATGGGCGAGTAGGAGCCTGCCCCGCCACCACCGCCGGCGCTTCCAGCAGGTCCCGCCGGATAAGACGGCGCCGCCGACGGATACGCCCATTCTGTCGCCCCGCTGCCACCGCCACCGCCGCCACTGCTGGCCCCACTCGTATCTGCAACAATACATAACCGATGCCGGATATACTCGTGTGTATATGCATCTTTCTGAAATAATCGACGCTGATTTTCTTTCTTTTTTCTATTTCTCACTTGTCTCGATTTGCCGAGATAACGTGCAGATTCTTGGACGCAAAGGCGCAAGTAGACAAGTGTCGAGAGTCCGAGTGGCTTGCTGCTTGGAAAATTTGGCGTTTACTACACCTCGACCGGTTCGAGCTCTGACTGTTAATTTGTCATCATTTTTAAAAAGGAACGGATGCTAAAATTTCTTGAATTACTGCACGTTGCAGGTAAATTACAGCATAAATAACGATTCGTTAGCATTCTCAATAAAAAAAAGTGTAATATTACCTACAAATAAATCGATGTCTATGTGTGTGAATTCAGTATCAAGTAGATTAGAATAACAGTGTTGAAAATTTGGTATTGTATCTGGAAATAGAAAGGAGAATGTTGTTAATCCTGTATTAATATTACTGAATTGTTAATCGGTTATTTATCTGCCTCTTGACTTCTTTATCTTGAACTTTCTAGTCAAATACTTTAATTTTCAATAATTCTTGAAACATTTATTTTATCACGAATGAACGCAATATTGTATGATCGACGATATAGAAAATTACTTTACACAAATAAAAATATCGTTTAAGTTCAACTGATATAAGTACAGTTTATCTGTTTCCTATGCAGATCACGAATGAGTGATTTACGCAGTTACAAAGAAGTGAAGAGTAATTCAGTAAGCAATAAATTTATTCCTGTGGTGGCTGATAGATTTTGATGGAAACTCACACAGAAATAAAAAGAGAAGCGCATCCGGTACAATGTATATCCGGTTATTATCGATACAGCATTGTTGGCAGCAGCTACACAGACTTCGAAAGCTTATGCGAAATTACTTGTTGCCCGTTGCCCGATAGACGAAGGGATTCAATTTTCCATTACCAATAATATTAAATGCAGTTTATTACTTGCACCAAATTAGTTGGCAAACGTTTAGCAACATAAAAATGACGGATATCAATTCGAAAACTCATTAAGACACTGCGCCAATGGTTTTCAATATCTTTTTCATATAAATAAAAATAGTATCACTCTTTAAACAATAATTTACGATAAAATGAGAAGACCGTGAATGCGATTTCGACTAAAGTTGGAAAAATCTAACTGGACATTCCTGTCTCCTTGGTTTCACCCCAACTAAGTATAATTATTTAGTAACTAGCTCGATCAAACGAACGAAAAGTGAATTAGTGCAATTGTAGGAAAGTAATCAATTGAACCATGTTTTTTTTAAATTTGATTGTACTTACTATATTTCGACGTCATGCTAACGTATATTTATAAAGAATTGTCAAAAAATATCTGTTATGATAATTTACCAAATTAAAATAAGAGAGATCCTTTTTGAAAACAGAGAACCTGATAAAGTGAAGTCAGTTTGTTCGTGATCTGATTGATTGAAAGATAGTCACGTAATCAGATACTATGCTGTAGTATAGATATATATGTTGTGTTTAATCATGAAAATTTACTGCAGATTTTCGTAGATGATTGAATGTTGGGAAAGTGAATCAATGTAGTTTGCATGAATTTCATATGAATTGATTGATTTAATCATACTAACTATGAAGTAAAAATTGACTGATACCCCAATAGAAAAATTAATTAAACTCTATACGAAAGTTTTGCTTAGAATAAACAAAATAGGCTATAAAAGATGTCAACTGATAAATTATTATGACAAAATATTAAACAGTAATTTCGGCTTAATTCAGTTGTATAAAATATCAGAAAATATTTTTGAAAATGCATTAATTGCAGCCCTGAACATCTACCGAAGTATATTATTTACATCGTGAAGAATATGATTATAGAAAACTATAATGTTTTTACAACATTACATTACATTTTTTTATCATGTTTTTGAAACTTTTGACTTTTGATGATTTTGCAACACAGAATTTTGGACGATAAAAACTTAAAACTTAAATGATAATATTTTAAAGTCATAAGTTTATAATTGCATATTTATTTCATAATAAATAACATCGTCTGCTATATCTTGTATAAAATTAGGGGAATATTTAATACATTATCGAATTTAATAAATTGGCGAATTTTCAATTTGCCAATAAAAGTTTTGATTTATATTCGTGCATTAAAATCAATGCAATGAAAAGGAGGAAGATAAACGCGCGAAGCGCGCTAGTCATCATTAGTAAGTAAGAGCAAATTGTTAACTCGCTGGGAATCCACAGAATTAATGCGTAAGCCGGAATGACCTAACGGGAAGAGTGGCAAAGCGCATGAATCAGTAAGAGCGTAACGAGATCGAGAGTCGGATTATTAATTGGATATGGCGCTCCGCCATGAGTCAATGTGCGAAAGAACGTACATCGTAATGCATTGCTTACGTGATCCGCAAGCTTCGATTTGAAGAACTTGCAAGGGGTCAAAGCACTTTGCAGATTCGCCATGCGAAAGGTTGTTGGCAAGCAAGTGTTGACTTGCTGGACTGTGCGTCATTGTAAAATTTTAATCAAGGCAAGGGACAATGCAACGTGACTGATGACAGGTGTTTGTTATTTTATATTCATGCATTGCTACTGAGATCGCGTTTGTACGCTTACTTTGAATATTAATACGACTAAAGTTAGTCATACACGTATAGGTTATAAGGCAAACAATCAGGCAAGTGTCTCAACAAAGCAAATTGTAATTAATTACACCTTGCCGGAGGCAGAATTTGGATGTATTATATGACAGCGATTTGTCAAGACAACAAATTGGTATGAAAGAATACGTCAGAGACCGGCTGTGACTTGATTCGGAATTAGCATACGCGCGATGACCAACCGTTGAAAGTCACGTGAATGTGGAAAGCCCATTGACGATCGTACACGCGTTTACGTCGGTTTTATTCATTCTACATTTGAAGGCCAAGTAAGTAATTACTCCGCGGGATTCACTGGAATTTGTGAATGAATGTGCGTACGACTGTGATGTTTGTGATAAAATTTTTTGACAAGGTTAAATAAAAGGATGCTTTGTCATAATGACGAGCTATAAAGGAAATCCCCGTATCTTTTTTTTATTAACTTTGTATCCGGATTTTTTTGTATCATAAGTTATGATGCATTTTATAAATAATAAAAGCTAGGGGCTTTCAATATATTAGTTAATTATAGTTCCGGTGGTTTTGATGTGCATTCAATTGAAGACTAATATTCTGATTCTTTAAAGATCAAAATAGTTAAGATATAGCTACTGATTAGAAAACTACCAAACTGTATACTTGTCCTATTGATACTTCTATATTCGAGCTTAAAAAAGCTGAAATTAGTTGGAAGCATCGCGAATAGGAATCTTTTTCGTTATTTATAAGTACCTATTTTACTGTCAAATGATTATTTGACTTAATAGCGAATTTGCACGATTAATTCAGTTGATTTCCTTGCAGTTCTAACCATATAAAAAAAATATGTTTGGTCTTATAATATAAATGAATGTAAATCAAAACAAAAATATATCCAAAATTTCAGTATAGGTATCTGATCGATAATAAACATTGTCAATATATACTCGATATACCGACTTACCAAAGTCGAAAAATTAAGAGTCATACAGTCCAGATAATAAAAATATCTTATGTTTTGCTAGGAAATAACTTTTTCGTTCGCAAATAATATTATGATCGTTCTAATGCTAGTTTAATTGACCGTACACCGTAACCATGTAAAGGTTACTTTTTTATCAAGATTAAAGTTAATCTTTTTCAATTGGCTTACATTACCTATTGAGTGTAATTCAGATGATTTCAATAATTATAGTTGAAGAAACAAAATCTTTGTGATCGTAGTTTATGATTTAACAGGAGTTTCATAATTTTTGCGATATACTGTTAAAAAAAAGATAAGTTAAGCTTTTTGAAGGTGATCTTAGCACGAGCCAGAATACTTTCAAATGGTATGCTGCTGCAATTCAAACCGAACGTTCAATATAGTATGCGAGCTCACAGTTATTATAGTATTAAATCTCATTCACTGAGCTGCCACTTATCTTTTTAATACAATTTATCCGCAAGAATGACAATCTTTAGTCAGATTCAACAGCTAAGCGAGATCAGTTGGCGCGTGATCCAACATCAATGTAAAACTGGCGCGTTCTCGTTTTTAGGCTAACATCATAAAAACGTGATATAAATAATATTAAAGCTTAGCTAACAGTCCGAAATGCAAAGAGTATTTTGGACTTTTGCGGTCATCTATTTCACTTCGCAATCTGCAATTGGAGTGGAACTACGAACTTTCTCGAAAACGTTTACATTACCTGACGGCAAAGGTCAAAAATGGTTTTACTTCTACCATACTCACTACTTTTTATCGCGCGCTTGTGAACAAAACGAAAAGAAAACCGAGCGAACCTGTGTGCTAAAGTTGGAGAAGAATTTCTTCAACGACACTAGTGATCCTCTAGGCACATGTAAAATCACTCTTAAAGCGGGTGATGACACTCAATTTGATTATCTGTATCACTTTAATATTTACGATCAAGACAAAGTTTTGGGAGTTTGGTACGAAAGAAACAAGAATTACAAAACAGAGCGAACGTATCCAGAAGGTTATGGGAAATTTGTGATCATTCACTTTCCCAGCTGCAACACAACTGAGATCGGTGTACCATTTTCTCACGAAGAATACAATTGGTATAAATATGAGTTTCTCCTGCAGCCGGCAGTGCTTCGTAAAGATGGTTTCGAGATCGTTTATAGAAATTCAACGATTTGCGATGATAAGTATTGTAAAATAAGCTATGATTCCAAGGGAAATAAAATTTCCGGCCCTGATCCGTGGTACAGTCCCATACACAATCCTACTTACAATCGTGAGCACGTGACACTACCCGATGACAAGGGAGTTGTTACCAGCGAAGTTTATAGGACGCACATTCATTATTATATCGTCAGACCGGATGGTGAGCCTTTTCCAGAACTTGATGAATTTTGCTTGACATAACTCGCTGAACATTTGAATTCCATTTCAGGAACAAAGATTATGTTGAAAGATATAGAAGGCAACTCTGGTCTTCACAAAACACCATCAAAATCATTAACAGGTATTCTCGTTTGTAATCTAGAAATAGACAATACAACATTAACTTGCGCTCAGTTTGACTTCGACGGTAAACCGATGATGGAAGTATCTTTACATCTCGGATTTAGCAATCGTCACTCAAAATTTATGACCTTGCCAAACGGTGGATTTATATTGACAACTCCAAATTGCTGGCTGCCTCCGAATTGTGACAACGATTATAAACCAGGTCAGCATGTGGTGAAAATCAATGAATTTGGGAAGCGGGTGGGAAGTATAAAAATTCCAGAACAAAATTTCGGAGCCAATTGTTCCATTAAGGCTGATGGCTTGTATAAAGTTGGTATCGAAGAGTATTGTTCGCTTTGGTTGTATAGATGCGATGGCGAAAGTTTTGACAAGGAAATTCATGCTTTTGCTAAGTGCTTCAACGATGCAGATTTTTCTTAATACAGTTCTACTCGATTTGCACACGGAGAAAAAGTCGCTACATCTTTTATAATAATTATTAACCATTGTGTCCAAAATTTTTAGTCAATTGAAATATATACTCTGGCTTATTTTGCAGTATTTCCAGTATAAATTGTAAACTTGAATGAATAAATAAATGTTACGAATATAATAAAACAAAATTACTTTGTTGTACTGAAAACCAAGGTGATCATTCAAATGGAAGAGTATTATAACGGTTTTCAAAATCGTAAAATTTTCCCTATAAGCACAGAAAAAAATTTGAACAGAAATAGTAGCTACATTCAATTTGCAAAATTCAATACTAAACGTTCTTGAAATTACGGGATTCATATAATAATTTACTTAAATTGTCGTAAGATGGAGGGCTTCCATGTATTTCTACTAGAGTAGTAAATACATTTTTTCTCAAAATGTTTCTAACAAATCTTTGACCAATCAAAACAATATTTTCGCTCAGCATGGGTTAGTATGTTCAAGCAATCTCATTCTTAATACTGCGAGATATTTAAAGCTGTCGAATGAAAATCTATTACAACTTTTGAATGAATCATAAAAATTCATTAGTCTTCAATGTAAGTGTAATAAATTGACAATCATTGTTTTTGTCACGCTGTAAAAAATGATTTTCAAATATTTATTGTGCTTCGTATGCTTCGTAGCGGACTGCAAGAACTGAATGAAAGTGGAATTATTTTTAATGCAAAGACGGTTCCATAACGTTTCCGAATCACGCTTCGTAGTGTATTTGTCAGCGAGTTGAGTATATAAACCGAGGTCAATAGCAACATTAATTCAAGTGTATTGATAAAGAGATTACTAGTCTCTAAATATACGGTGGTTGTATGGGAAAGTCACATACTTATTCCGACCAGAATGAATAGTTTAGAAAAATTCATGCAATAAACTGATAATATTGAATAGACGAGTTTAAAGTTGAAAGGTAGTAGATAGCGAATGTTATGAATGTTTAAACAGTTTAATTTCCAGGATACATCGTTCATTTATAAAAAATAATTGAACTTGGTCGACGCTCTGTCAATTAGTGCCACTCGTTGAAGTAACGGATTGGCATTACACGCGTATACACAGAGAGGAAGCGATTTGGTCGAGAAACGGAGCAGAAATCGAGCGTAAAGCCGCGGCTGTGAGAAAGGACAGCAAGTTTTGGAAAGTCGCAGTGTGAATGGAGTCTCGTACGCTGTTTTTATTGTCGTTCGTGGTTCCATTCACAGATCGCTGCGCTGAAGCCTCGAGTCGTCGCAAGAAATTGATCGGCGCGCTTCATTTAACCGGAGCTCTTGCGTTACCGCCGCACCTATAGTTATATGTAAAAACTTTATCGACTCGATTGCTTTCGATGAATTTTCTTAATCTGGCTGTAGAACTATGACTTTCATACTTTTTCAACGACAAAAAGCACAGTGCATCGCGTATCTTTTTGCTGACGATCGCGATGAACCCGAAACGTCCACCTTTGATCTTTTCACTTCGCAAGAATGATTTTCCACCGAGGAGATGAGAAAATCAGGCATAAAATTAAAAGAGAGAACGACAAAGTGCGTCGGGGCTACGACAGATGAAGAACGCAGTTCTCCCTGGTGCGCCTGCGCTGCAGGCAAAGGTTTTTACGGCGCAAGAGAGTGCGTTAACTGCTGATTGCGGTGAGTCGACTTGGAAATTAAACGCAAGACAAGCCCCCAAGTGTGCACCGTTGCACTTCTTCAGCTCCGCTCATTATTGTCATTTCTCGCCTCTGCCGTGCGCCTAGACTCGTCTCGGCTACGTTGTTGCGCTCGAAAACGCAATTATAATGCGTCGACGTGTGATTTCGCGCTCGCGACCGCTCTGGTGAAATCGCCTCTGCCGAGTCTGTCGCGGCGTTTGCTGAAAACACGACTTCTTTTCGAAACACACTCACGTCGGCTACCGGCTGATAAATCGGCTTTCCAGCTTGCTTCGAAATCATCAGTGGCCACATTGAGCTTGCGTTAACCTCATTGTATGTTGTTGGCCGAGAATTTTTAAACGAATATCCAAATTTTCATTATTCGAGTAACAGTATCACGTTACGTTCGTATATAATGTGTATACAGGGTGGGGGAAAAATGGAAACACCTAAAGATTTTTTTCTAGTATAATATTTTTTCAAGTACTCAGTTTTTAGACCCAAATTGAAAATTTCTAATAGATAATCTTACTTTTTATTGCAGATTTTAATTAAACGTTAAATTTTACATCCGAATATGATGAAATTAATTTTTCAGACTTGAAAAATATACTCACTATTAAAAGGTTACAGATATGTTAAACATGCTCATGAGAAAGCCAAGCATTTTTTACAAAATTGAGTAAAATATTTTATAAAATTCTAAGAAAAACTACTAAATGTTATGCTAGTATTTGTAGAAAATTCACATGAGAGTAGTCTTTCAATAAGTAAATATCACAAAATTGATTGTAAATCTGTGCTCAAAGTATTTAAGATGTACAAATCTCCTCTCTATAAAGTTATTCCTATCCAGACGTTCAATGAAGATGATTCTGATCGTCATCTTGAGTTTTGCGAATCCGCAATGTAAAGAATAGAATATAAATCTCTATTTTTAAGTAATGCAGATAAACTAATCCCCATTGGATGACAAAAAGTCATACATAGTATCCTCATAAGCTAAATGTTTGTGTAAGTATTGTTGATATAATTTATTGGTTGGTCCGTTTTTCATAGAAGGAAACTTATCATCAGAAAAATATGAAATAATGTTAAGAACGTAAATAGTTCCAGCAATACGTCAAATAAAAGAGGATGATTTCATAGATACCTGCTTTCAGCAAAATGATGTACTACGGCCACAATGTTTAATAGTATCTTGATACCAAATTTTCCGATAGATAAGTAGGTCGAAGAGAGATAATTGAATGATCTTCAACATCCACCGATTCAATACCGTTAGACTATTTTCTACGGAGGTACTTAAAACATCGTATTTACACAACAAATTCTCAATATTCCAATGAATTAAGAAAACAAATCCTTCAAGAATCTAAAATTATTCCACTAGATCTTATTCGAACAGAATAGGATATTACCAGTTGTTGGACATTTCCAACAGCTGTTATGAATAATCAATATTTAAAAACATGTAAACAAACATTCTAAAACACGAGACAAGGGGACTCATATTAAAAAAATATCTCGAAGTACAACAATATTCTTCCATGATCACGTTGTTGTTCCTCGATAGCGCTAAAGGAAGGATGTCTAATATACTGAATCAAAAAAGAAGTTTCATTAGAATAATCAGAAAAAAATAATTTGATTTTAAAATATTCATTTAATATAACGAAATATTATATGTCAATGTGAAATTTCATCAATTGAAAATCATTAGTATAAACTGACAGTTTTCTGAACATTTGTCTAGATGGATTAGACTTGAACCTGCTTACACTATTAGATCCAAAGATGGTCTATTAAAAAAATGGGGAAATTACAAAAGAAATCGTAAGAAAATTTATAAAACTCGAATCACTTCAAATTGTTTGTAATTGCAGTGTTTCGAACCCATTTTTAGGTCCGAAAAATCAAGTATTTCAATATTATATAACATTATATTCGGATGTAAAATACAATATAAAGTTCTATTGAAATTTTCAAGTTGGGTCCGATTTAGGACCATATTAACATTGGGCACAAAAATTGAGTACTCTATTCAAAAGAACATTATTTAAGTTTATAAAACTTTACTTTCCACAAAAAATATGTTTTTTTTTCACAAAAAAAGTGTTTCCATCTTTTTTCCCCACCCTGTAGGTACTGACGCATTCATGCGACAAGGACAGTCGACTTGCCCCCCCCCCCGTCTTTCTCTATCTCACCTGCAATGTTGTGCACCAAAGAGTACGAAAACGAAAGTAAAGAAGAGTCGGTCGATCGTTGACTATTGGGTTTTTCTCACGCCGTCGCCAATGAATCGTACACACCAAGGAAGCTACCAAGGTAGTCGAAATTTCAATGGGCCTTTTATGCGGTTTGACGTGTTTTATTTTTTCTCGTGATGGCGCAATCATCGATATAGACGTGTGTATGTGCGTGCACATGCGCGGCTACTAAATTGTTTCTTTTTTTCGGCTTTTGTTGATGACATGCCGAAAGCTGTTTGTATATATATACCGGAAGCTGCGAATCGTTGCTCTCTCGCCCTCTTTTTTTTTGGTGAACTTTAACTGTGAGAAAATCATCGCGAATTACACTTGGTGAATTGAAACGAGCAGACGGACAGTTTCGTGAGATGATTAATAATTTTAATGGTTTAATTTGCGACGTTGCTTAAGCGAAGCGAGGTTATTATGCATCAAACTGTTTCCTACTTCGAAAGGTGCGCGTGGAGCTGATTTAGAAACAACATTTAAAAAGATTTGAAACGACGGCGGACACTTGAAAAATTACAAGGTGGCGCATAAAAAATGCCAACATCGAAGTGTACTCGTGATCACGCTGAGCAATATAAAGCTATCCGACAAAAGAGCATCTCAATTAATAACCCTTGAACCCGTTGTCGAACAAGCTCCTCGTCAGTATATCAATAAGCGAGCGGAACAGAGGATGCGAGCACTTAGTGGGTGCGTTGGTACACCTGTATATATACCTTGAGCGATGTACCGCGCATCGGAAGCAGCAGCTCGTACACATTTAATGTACGTACATCCTGTTTGTGAAAATTCGTTTAAACTATATAATTTTCTCGGTGCGCAGGGATGCAGTTTCGTGCATTTGTGTATTTTAAAATTACTTTTAACGAGGCGTTATCGGTTTCGAGTAGTTTTTGCTAGCAGATCTGATACCGTGAATTGACGAATCCATTCAAATTTTCAATGTCTAAGCCGCGTATCTAACTGAAATTCGAAATTGTTCGAAATCTAAATTTCTTTTCATTTGAATTTTAATGACTTCTGATTTCGATTAATGGAACAAAAATTACCGTTTCGATCTTAAACGTTAGATGCTTGGAGTGGGTCGAGGTTAACATGGTCCTCGATGTAAAGCCACACTCCTACAGGCATCCCCGTGAGGATTCGATGTCAGACAGAAAGAGCAAGAGCAACGTCAAAGGGGCCGCTGCCGAGTTGTAGTAGCCGCGTACGTGT